TCAAGTGGAATACAATCAGAAGCAAAATGAAATATTTTCCAAAAGATTACTGTAGAAGATTCTGATCGTAGAAGTTGAAGCCAAATTATCAGCTGTTTCTCTCAATTACGTACAACATCATAACTACCTATCTAATAATAAAGAATACCTGAGGAACACTAGCAATCATAGATGTCTCAAAGTCACCACACCATTTATTCCTCATTAAATCAAATTAGCGAAAATAATACAGTCGGAATATTTCAATATTTAACAGACAGTTTATTTCAAGTTGTTATTCATCGAAGACTGACATCAGTTGGAGGAACAAAGGAAACCTGGGAGCACTGGACAGCTGTTTCGTCCTAGTATGGGACTCCTCAGCAATGCGCACCCACGAAATCCAAATCTCCACAACCCCCTCAAAATTTAATTAAACTAGTGCTCGTTGGTGACTAGCTTCGACAAGTATTCCCGAAGTTCCAATGACAAGTCGTGACCGGTGGAGTCAAAGCCTGATGGCCGTGAGGACAAATGCTCAACGATGACATTGGGTGGCGGTTTGCGCTATATCGTGAGCTAACAGAAGTTGTAAATATGGAGCATTGGATTCTGACCCAGTGGCTCAATGGTAACTCGCTGGTCGCGGAACCTGAAGGTCGCGGGTTCGATCCCTGCTGGTGGGGTCGTGAGTGCGCACTGCTGAGGAGTCCCATACTAGGACGAAACAGCTGTCCAGTGCTCCCAGGTTTCCTTTGTTCCTCCAACTGATGTCAGCCTTCGATGAATAACAACTTGAAATATTTCCAAATCTCCACAACCCCCTCAAAATTTAATTAGACAGTTTATTATTGGCTAACGGTTTTTGATAAAATAAACTTCGACAGAATTTACGCACTTTTAAATGACGAGCACTAAAATCCATTCCCAACTATTTTTTTCTTCCATAATAGTAGGTACAACTAAAATCAGATAGTAGGAAAAACAATTCGTTAACAGAAGGTGACTCACTTTTTGAGAAAGTGAAAAATATATTTTCAAAAATTGTAATTCTAAATAAATCAGTTAACCTCTCGATAGAGACTGTGTCATAATTTACAACATAATGGTATATAAAGACAAAAATAAAAAGCAGCACTATTTAAGAAGACTTAATGATACTGGTGACTTCTGTATTTCTTAGTGACCAGTAGTAGAAATTATTACTCGGGTGGTTTGTTACTTAGGGCTCATCAGTAATGCATAATAACACTCTAATGAGCTTTTTTTTCTCCCATTGTAAACTGCAGAAACAAAGAAATCAAAAATTGTCATCAAAGTTTGTAACTGTGGAACAGGAAGAGAGCATAGCAGAGAAACAGCTAAGTGAAGAATGCTTTGGTATTTATATAACAAGTTATAAGCTCGATCCCGATGGAAACATGTGTCCAGTTGACTAGTCATAAGTGTAATAAGATTCTTTTTCTGAATTCCCCCCGGTAGAAACTATCAAAAATAAGCAGGGTTTTTAGCACAATCAAAACACTCATAAAAGCAGCTACTATGCCATCACAAACCGATTTCTTCTCTCCTACAAGATTATGCGATTGGAGCAGCATAATTTCTCCTTGTAGAAGGGATTTTTATCACCTGCTGAGGTAATTATATCATCGTACACCGGAATAAAATTTTCTGAAGTTAATTGACCTTACTTGGAATAAGAAGATTGAGACGCAATATTTTATGATAGTAAAACAAAAAAGATTTACCAGCTGGTGTGTATTGTTTGTTTTAAGCATCAGTCGATGAATATACTGCGAACGTAAAAAAGGGAATGCCGGAATTGACTGGGAACAAACATCGTCCCGAACACAATTTATTGTCTAGACTTAAGAGAGAATTTAGTCTCTGCTGTGTTACCATGTAAGAAAGGCAATATTAAAAGCATTGCAAAGAATTCCCAATAAGACTGGCTGGGATTAAAGTGGCATTTAAACCAACAAACGCACTTAGGAACAAGCTTTGTAGGATAAAAGATCACACTGATGCAATAAAGCAAAATAATTTGGTTTATCCAACCCCTTGCTATGCGTGCAAGGTCAAATACATAGGTTAAAGTAGTCAATTAGGGTCGACTTCAAAAATAGGGCACAAAAACTTAGCTGAATCAAGATTAGTAGATCCTAGTAAGATAAGAAATTTAGAGAAAAGCTCAGCTATAGCTCTGCACACAGCGACAGTGTTGAAAACCAACTTCGTTGGGTAGAGGCAGAGATTGATAACCGAATCTTTGTTTATCAGATCAACACCAAATACATGCAACAGAAATGATTCTGCACGTGTCCCAGATATATGGAAAATTCTACTACCCTTGTCATCACAGCGAACGAGAAAGAATTAGGACTATATAAACTCTATCCTAAAGTTGTGGAGTTACACGATATGAATATGGATAATAACTTGTGTCTGAAACGTTATCGAGTAGGTGATACTGTTACACTGTATGACACTTCTAATAAATAGAATAAAATGGAATAGCAGATCTGAGTTCACCTCCTCGCTTATGATTATAGGAGGTTATAAAATACTTACACGATGCCGAATATCACATAGAAAACAAATGATTGCACTTCTGCAGAAAATAACACCTTTCGTTCCTAGTTACATTGTATAACAGTCCAGTAAACCGTCATAGATGCTTAATAATATCCAATTTACATGTAGTGGAATGTCTGCATAGATTGTTAAAAGCAGTTTGAGTTGACAATATGAAAATGTACCAGTCAGACTAAGATTATCTGAGCCAATAACTGATTTCAGACAGTAGGATAATCTGATCAGCTGATTTCAGACTATTCACTGCCACTGTTAGAGGATTGATTCTGTCAGTAATTTCATGATGTTTAAAGCCACAATGTATGTCACACTTTACTCTATCGTCCTTTTAACTCCATTACTGATAACTAGTCTTGGCAAGCAAATATATTAAGAGGGATTATTTTTGATATTACTGAATTCCGTGTTACCTTTCTATTATGAACTCAGTATTCGTCTGCGACTAAAATATTTAAGCATCATAGAGCTGCGTAGCTAGGTAAACACAATTTGTTGTAGGTCAAATAGGTTTTTCCTCATGTACCTTTCTAAAGGTTATGTCTCCCAACGTCCTCACACCCAGAACCCTAAACAAAAACCACAGAAGAAGCATTATACGGACGACTACAGTAACCAGAGTGAAACTCAACCTTACTAACAGCTTAATTTAAATGCTTACAGAAATTATGAGCTACAGGAGGTGCGCCCTGCTGCGAATGAACTGTCGAAGCTTTAGATAAAAGCAACGGCAGCACAGTTCAAAACCCTATCTCCGACGTAGAAAGAAAAGTTCACAGCTTGTTAATACCAGCTAAAGTTCAGGCACAAAGAACACTTTATGGCTTTGTTTTCACAATCATTCTCCAATTTATGAGATATCCGACGACTTTCAAATTCTATATTGGTGTATAGAATGAGTGGTTGATTCAATTACCTCGATACGTCTACTGAAATAATCGTATTCCGTTAAAAATGTTTTCAAAAGAATGGTGATTTTTTCTTAACACAAGTTGTGCTCCATTGAGAGTTACTTATATGAATGCATAAAAGTAGTAAATATAGTAGCGTGAAAAATAATAGCGATCGACTGTAAATAAATAAAACGCATTAAATACACAATAATGGACAGAAGTATAAAGAGCAAGAATAATGTTGTATAAGATATATAACAAGCGACTGTTTGCGAATATACAACATAATTAGATTTCATTTATTTCCAATACCAGTTAGATTTTCTCAAAGAACAATATCAATAGTGTCGTTGAACATTTCTCCCTTAGTGCTACTTCATGCCTCCCGGATGAAGATACTTTGACCTCGAGGATGGAACTGTGCCGGCTTTCCAGGGGGATTTTGAGGGAGTTGCGGAGCTGGTGAGGGCTATGAAACCGGGGTGGAAACTGGTGATATTATGAATCTTACTAAGAGGCCGGGTGAAGGTTACTTAAAACCACCAAAATATTATACATCTGGTTATAAGCAAAAAATTACTAGGGTTTCATTCCTCTTCAGTAGCTGTAAAAACAAGCTGGCCTTCTATTCCATTGAGATTTCTGTCAACTGTATGTATCTAACTTAAACCACATGTCTTCAGAAGACTCACTATTGACAAAAGAAAACATAACGTTCGTTCAGGTTAAACAGTTTATACGTCATTTCTAGAACAAAACTACGCCTACTGATTACTGATATTTCACAGATCTCTTGAAAAACTGCCAACTTCATAGTCTTTATAAACTAATCCAATAATACTTACTTTATTTTTTCAATTTATGGCAGAAAAAAACTTGCGAATGAAAAAAATCAAATTCACATCGCCAACTTACCTTTCAACAACTTGTGCACGATTCGTACTATCTAGTGATTTCATTCCAACTTGATGGATTAAATTTGTCGTGAGTATCATAAGTACACATCAATATCTATGAAAGAAGTGATACATACAAATAATATTTCACCTTGTGACAAAATAGGATGAAATCAGGGTGAAATCTTCAAAAATAAACTAATTTCTTTGAAGCAATACTTATATTTGTCAAAATAGTTTGGCAGGTCACGATAAGTACAGTCGATGGCTCCAAATACGATGCACTTGTCTCCACTCCAGATAGGTAGCATTATTGTGCAAGTAAACTATTCCATAAATGATATACACTTAGTACAGTAAACCTTTGGTATTGCTGTTAGTTTTACGAATACTGGTATGTGCAAAAGCCCCAATAGTATAACAACAGAAGTTGCGGGGAAGAGATCGCTTTTTATTTTCTGCTAGGCATATCTGAAATTTGAACTGACAAAATATAAAGAGAATAAACCATATTAGCTGTAACATGTCAAAACTGTCTCTAGATTGATGATCATTCCGAATTATTGATCGGTTACAATTTAAATTCTAGTAATCTAACCTTGGTGCAGTGACCATAATGTATAGGAATATTATGCCTAGACCATATCCAAAGTAAGATTTCGCATTGTCCAATAGTATATACAGATAATTTTCTTTTTCGTGTTAATTAATTTACAGATGCACAAAAAAAAACCTAAAGTAGTAAAATATAATTCTACAAGAAAAACATTAAAACAACTAACAAATAGAGTTAAACAAGTCAATTCAAATGCACCGACAACAGTGGCAACAACAATCTCAAAAGGATCAAAATTACTTGATCAATATGATACTAATAAACAACCTAACTACAAGTGTAATTCTGAATTAAGTGATTCATTAGCTAAAAAACTTTATTTATCCGTTAGTACAAAATTACCAGCAAAGAAATTAAATTATCAAGCAATATTTTCTAAATGGTCATTAGATCCACTTAATTTATCATCAGTTGAAAAAGGAACCACTAGTAAATTGGAAAATTATCCTAATAATAACAATATTGGTAAATTAAAACAAAAAAGATTCAATTTCGCATATAAATATCATAGAATACCAAAAACAGCCAATGAATTTCAGCATTCAGATAATATAGATAGCTATATTATTAATTATCGTAAAGTAAAAATTTTGAAACATTTGAGTAGTGCAAACAAACAGAATGACTTTGTTACAGATGATGGAATTGATTCAGAAAAGAGAAAATTAGTTATTAATTTATCCTGATTATTATTCTTGTTTTTGTAATTGTAAATGATGGCGCAGACACTTCAATCGACCTCACTGTCCTTTCTATGCTAAAAAGTTCAAAGCTTGGAAATTGAGAACCTAACTGAGATGTGGACAGTACTCATCAATTTCCAAAAATCAGTTAAATTCAGTTAGCTAGTGAGTGAAAATAACGACTTTGTAACACCAAGCGTATATATAAAATTTCTTCAAACTGCTTTCACTGATCTTCTGCTTGAAAAGCATGCAAATTTTGCATCTTCAAAAGCAGATCTTATCAAATAAATTAAAAAAACGTTAAGCATACTTACCGTTATTGTTCTCAACTGGTTTGTACTAAACCAAGTCTGAAGATATGAGATGAGTTAACAAATACATTGAATAATCTGCTTTTATCAGTTGGTTTTCGAAAAAATTCGAGCATGGCTATAAAAATCCTGTCTAACCCTTGAAATTTAATGTCATTAGCGGTATCAGAAACGCACACGATTGCCTATCGTAGAATAGAAAGATACATAACAGCTGTAATTTGATGACATGGAGTACCAAAAGTCTGTCTTCTAGTTTTTCTATGTAACCAGTTAGCTGAACTATAGCCCGTCACGCAGCTTAGACATATAAGGTGCAAACACTATTTGATTTCGTAGTTTCTGAAGTCATTCTGATGCCTCTTCCACTCTGACTTAGTGATAAGCCATCATAAAACATCACAGAGTCCATCTGACAAGCAACTGTCGTATAAGGTCATGTACATTTTACTTAAAACCAACTCTATCCTGAAGAATCAGAAATAACTACATATCTCTGTACACTTCATTAGTCTTGGTGCGTCAGAAATCATCCCGTAAATTTGGACAACTCGAAGAGTACTCCAAGAGATTGAACTACCTATTAAACAATTTTATTTGATATTGCACACAATGATATAATATTACTCGCTGAATGATACTCTGAGCAAAATGTACTGCTCATAATCGTACCAAGGTAACCGAACAACTTTAGACTTGATTTTTATAGCACAACAGCCCTTCATTCCTTCATTTGTAGTGGTAGTTAACTTTCACAAATTACTACAATGTATGATGAATCATTCCTACGGGGAACTCGAAGACTCACTATGCACAAGTTCATCAAGTTGTTGCGTTCCAAATAGGACGAAATGTACATTCTGGATTCCACTGCTAGACATTGATAAGCAAATAGCATCAGTATATTCTGTTTCACTTCAGAGTGGTTTATTTTCTCGTGAGGTTTTCACTTTTGATAAGTATTGAGGCTAGTTTCACAAATGATACCTAGAAATACCCGTACAACTTTATTCTGCCGATCCTTCAACACAGTCCTTCAAATACTGAAGAAATCGACGAATATTGTGTTCAGAACACGCACTAAATCAATAAAAACATTGCTAGTAACGTTGAGAAGTGATTGCATAGATGAAATAGAAGTTTACTTTACTGTTAAAATGTAGACTTGATGAAATGTGTAGCCGTCAGTAAACTCATCTGTGCTTTAACATGTTAGTTATAGGTGTAAGTTTGTCCAATTTTATGAGTACATCTGAAAATATAAAACGTACGAATTTTCAATCCTCAAAGATTTTCATTACCTATGTCATTTCGAACCTCATAGAGTCTATAGATTTCATCCCAATTACAGATGCGTTTCATTTTTGATTTGCAAAAATAAATAGATACGTGAATATCAAAACATATAGTCCACTATAGTGCCTCGAAGTTTAACTCTTCATTAGACAGTTGTAATTAGCCAAGGGTATTCTAAGAAATGTGAATTTCATTCCTGTATACCACAATCTGGATGACAGAATTCTTATTGTGAAGTGACTGCAACGGTCTTTAGATCGCTATAAAGATGATGATAGTTTGGTGTTCTCTGAACCCTGATATTTTGTCATGGACACTTCACTACAAGGTTTCATGACATCGTGTCATTCTCATTACCACCAAGCCTGGTGATGAAACGTCCACAACAAAATACTGGGTCTCAGATAACACAGAACTACTGTCGAACTCTTACCCTGAAAGACTCTAATTTCCTAGGATGCATTATGTTTCAACAATCAAATTTGCAGAAACAGAAGTGACCACAGAGATATTAATGCCTGATGGAGTGATTAAAACACCTCCTTTGGTCATTAAACTTCATCCTGAAGTCAGATTATTATAGAAAGAAGGTATCAGTAATTGCTTGTAGAATTTTTAATCTGCGTGCAAGCGAAATGCCTTCTGACTAGTCGATATTTTTACCTTTTCACCTTTTAGAAATGAAACAAATTCCATGGCTTATAAGAAAAATGTTCAGCGGTTGAATAGCACAAAATATCTGCAGGAAGATGGTAGTTTAAACCTAGTCAATAATAAGATCAATTGTTCGATGAATCCAACTATTGATAACACTAAGAAACAGCAGTTTGCAGAAACAGTCAAACTTATTAGGGCGGTTACAACAACTGTTAGCATCAGTACTATTACTGCTGGTGATCAACATTTATCTGACAGTAACATTAGTGACAGCGCTGACAAGATTATGGAAAACTCACTTGATGCAAACGGTATACAGATGGTCTGTGATTCATCAGTGAAATAAATTCTACTAAAAAGCCATTTTAATGTAAAATCTAAAATAATATGCTGAACTATGAACTATTCAGATAACTTAAGTAACTGTAATATTCAACCGTTTTACTCCATATGTTTAGAATGTAATCCATCTTGTATAAGCATTGAGATACTAACTTGCAGATGACAGACATTTTCATACTCATCCGTTTCAGACTTTTCATTCTGTACATTCCCAATCGACGGTCAGAAATCAGAATAAAACGCATAAAAACTTCTAAAGTAAATACGAAATGTAGAAATCAGTTGCAGCGGTTAAATCCGTTTCAAACTGTCAGTGATGCAATAACCATCTCTAGACTAATACATCTTGAGTATTTAAACGAATATTATTCATTAGCTTCATTATTGTATCATAGTGGCATTGCCAGAAATATCCAGCTTAAGGGTTCAAATATTAATGTATGCGAGTACACTTGCCTACTCAACAAATCCTAATGACTAGTAGATTGACATTTATCTTGCTTACTGAAATTCTTTCTTGTTCTCTATAGTTGTTTGTCTGTAAATATACTAAGGTGTAAGATTAACGTCTGTTTTTGTAGACTGAGCTAAGTAGTTGCGACAAGACAACCCAATTCGCTACTTTCCCTTAAAATTCAGTAGAGATGATAATTAGTTCTCTGATAACCCTTTCGACTACTGATGTGCAATTTTTATTTTGTGTACTATATCGCTTCATAATTACTCTATTCCCCCGCATGATGGTGAACTTAACTACTGGGTAGTATTCTACATTTTGAACTGTGACCAGATATTAAGTGAGCGAGCAGATGCCTGCATACCAATCACAAATTACCTGACCTATCTTTTAAGTTTTCGACGGAAACTGTTGACCAAAAGTCAAGAACTGTTTATACGTAAGTGGTTCTTAGTATACCTGAAATCTTAACGACTGAATCAGTCAACACTATCTTTCACTACATATACTCAGCAGTACCAACTGTTTCTGAACAACACCCTATCTAATATATGCTTTAGTTGTTTATCTCAAAGTGATCCTAATTTAAATGGTGAAATAATTATTCGAAACAAATCTGAACAAAGCAATGAAGGTCCAATGGAACTTTTGCATATTTGATGGCAGATCACTGGCTATCTATAGTTCTGTCTTCGTTATTGAAACCATTCACCATTAGATTATATCACAACGTCTTAACAACTAAAGAACTAATTCTTTTGAGTCTTATAATAAAAAGTAGAAAAGCTTACGACTTTATTAAGTATATTTATTTAGTTCCTACTCATAAGTTATTTAAGGGAATCCAAACATTCGTTAAGAGTTCTTACAGCGGTACGTCACCCATATGGAAGCTATCCGTATGACATTCGCAGTGGCTAAAATAACTTAGTTTTTCATAAAAATTTTCTCTGGGTGTCGACCAAAATGTATGCTCATGAATATAGAATTTCAGTAAAAGACTGTTACATTTCCAGGAAATAAATATCCCAGGAACTGACAAGAATAAGGTTTTCAATGTTCGTTAAAGAAGTATCCTGCAGCATGCACTATAAATTATTGCTCAGCATACTTCGTTTAGTTGAGGAATACTGAAATTATGAATTGTCGTAGCCTGTAAACATTTGTAGTCGTTTTTTGTTGAAATCATTCCTAAAAGAATATAGACTAAAAGCATTCGAAGTTGTTTGATAACTTTGTATCAGAAAAATAGTGTATTCAGTTGCACGATGCAGGCTTGTACAAGCTGCTGATCATATGAAAAAGGCACAGTAGTGTTCAGTCACCTTCAAGAAGTCAAGATTTGAAGCTCACGTTGCAGAATGAGAATTCTCCTGACTTTAAGGGACATATGATTAACAAGTTTTCTGATTTATTTAATAAAGGCATTCAAGACTTAAGAAGTAGGCATTCTCTAGTAGCTCAATAAAAATTGTATCTTTCTACTTCTTTTCACTATGACTGTCACTGAACTGATTGAACCGAGTAGAAGTAAAAAATTGCTACGTACAAGGAAGACCGTAAGTTGATTAAATACAGCTGATATGCGTTTGCCCTGTGAGAGAAAGTAACTCTATAGTAGGTTTATTGCATGATTTAAAGCACAAAGTTACGACATTACTTACTTAACGGTATGATTGGGAGCAATAATTTGTGTGCTTTTACAACTCACATTGATAACATTTCTACACCTAGCAACAACTTATCCACTTAAAAATTATCTCCCATTCTTTATTATATTGCACTCATTTCATACGCTTTATGTTGCTATTCGGTTTTCTATGTTTCTTTGACGTGATTTCTCGCCATGCATCGTTATCACCTTCCACGGTGCCACATATACTACTTATAAGGATGCTTGCAAGTAGCTCTCACTTAAGTAATCCCAGTAATATAATAGAGGAGAAGTGAACACACAGAGAATTTAGGTTTATAAAGGCCATTCATAGACATGGGTTCCTTAAGTCAGATGTGAAAATTAGTTTCATGGATGATGGTATACATCTCTGAATCATATAGAAAACTTCCCAACTTTAGTGCCCTCTGAAATTTTTGAGTTAATACTGAAGTGAGAAGAATCACTAGATAACTGATCTCCCTTTTCAGTGAAATCCGCTAAACACCTCTGATATAAAAATGTAACAGCAGTGAGCATTCAGCGAAGGATCAGATCAAAAACTACCAGAGGAACATGATTCTTTAAAACATTACCTGAAAACTTTATTGATTAGTTGGAACACAGAGATGTACAAGTGCTGGAAAAACATCACCATCATACCTCAGCTGAGTGTTTTTATCTGAGGTCAGTAAACCTTGATAACTGTAATCGTAAATGCTTCCTCCGATGACGAAGGTAGTTAGTTTCATTGATAGACAGCTGGTCATTTCTGTTATCCCCACACAAACAAAAATATCAAATGATATTCTACACATCGTTCTGCAACATATCGGTGCACCACCTATTGTTTATCATTTGTAACAATAAGCAATTTTCGGTATACCAACTAAGTTCTAGTTTCAAGCAACAACAGCACGCCAGATATTGCAAAAGATTGAACTAACAATAATTTTCAACTGGTGTAATATTAATAGGATCAGGAATTATAAAATGTGTAAAGTTTTGCATTTTGATTCGACTGATGAATTCAAATTCGATACTGAAATGTCATTTTGACCGGATCAGATTATTCAGATAATCTCAGAAAGAGGAAAGAAGGATATAAATTGTCTTACGTATATTCTAAACTTAAAACAGCTTCTCATGATGAACATGACAAATTTGGTAAGTGACGTTTCCATTCTGTGAACCGTCACAACTTATTCTTAGCCGATCATCTTATCAGGTTAATTTAATCAAATCACCTTCCCATGCATTTCCATGATTTTTTGGGCTAAATGATAAATATAAGTTTGAATTTAGCAGCATAAAATGTCAGCACATAGTCAAGGGATACCAAACTCATGTTTACAATTACTTCTTGAAGCTGCAACAACTTCATTACCTATAATAACAATGCAACCATTATATCACATCCAAATACTAGTGAACACACTCTCTTTTATGGCTATCTGCAGGAAAATGCCATATCAGAGTAATATTTCATGGGATGATGATTGATTGTTCATTTTACTTTGCAGTGTAAGTTGATAGTCAACAAGTTATAAAACCCTACGAAGTTTTTTGATAAATATAGTGAGTTCAAACTTGTAAATGTTTGTAAATGTCAATTAATGTTTAAGATACTACTTGTTCTATCCATTGGTCTTAAATAAATCTATCTACTTAACTTCACTCTTCGAAAAAGCCTTTAATCCCTTGATTTTATATGTTAACGTATCAGAACTGTCGTGTTGGAGTCAGCAAATAGTTCCTGTTATAAAATCAAAAGTGATTGCAAGTATCCAGTATTTTATTACATTTATTAACCAGGAGGCTAACTCAAAAAATGTCATCAGTATCAGCTTACACCACCTTCATGCATAGGTGGATGGTTGTTATAGACCCCAGTTCCCTTTATTAAATTACCGCATAAACAGCCTTGAATATTACTTCAGTTATACAGGGAACGAAAGAAATACTCACATAAGGCAGCGAATGAAGTTGATTTAGGGACATAGATCATCCAAAAAGGTATTTTTCAGTTAGATGGGAGCGATCAACAGAAAGGTCTGGTCAACCTAGACTTCGTGATTGCTGCCACTAGTCAACAAAGCGCGTCTACAACCACGACGGAAAAGATGTCTCCTGAGAGATCCCAATTAAAGTTACTCAGGGTTGCAGTTAGCGACGTAACAACTGAGGTATTCGTCTTACTATTCTTTTCCAGAGAGATGGGATTAAGCATATTGATTTGTTGTTGATGTGACGCAATCAGCAGGGAGCCATGAACTTTTATCCGTCGAAGCCAGAGACTGAAAACGGTTTTATAAACGTCTGTATTGGATGTCTTAACCTGCTTTTTATATCACATTCACTACTTTAATGCTATTGGTAGATGACATCTGGTAGGGAGAACTCCACGTTTGTAATGAGACTTCATTTTTTTTACCTTTGTAAGCCGAACACCACACTACCTTCCTGTAATCGTTTCAGAATACAAGCTAGCTAAAAGGCATTCTCATTAAGCCTCTGCGAATTGAATGAAATAACAACTGATTTTGTTTTCAAATATAGTTATCGACGTAACTGGCATACAGAAATAACGTTTTTTCCCTATGTAGATAAAAATACAATGTTAGTTAGCTGAATATAATACAAAAAGTCATTTGACTGTCCTGGAAACTTAGGAGGTCTGATAACTGTTTGGCGTTTCTTAAACCTTGATATTTGGTATTAAACCCTAGATCATCAAGCTAGGTGACTTTGTAAAATCCAAATTTAACCAGATAATCTAACTTTGTAGGGTAAAAATTATTATGAGATAACATATGGAGATCCGAGATGCTAGCACCTAACAAGACTTCTCAGATATACTACTCGTGTTGTTTAGCAGCATACTTCACTAGTTCTTGACACTTATATTAAAGATCACACCAAATGATCTTCATTCAGTGATTTCCAGTGGGTGCATGTTCATATCACAGCTGGGAGAAATTCTGGCTTCGAGTCAAATGGAGTCACGTCTTGAATAAAACGAACTGCACACCAGCTGAATTAATACTAGAAGCATAAGAATCCCATGTCTTTGAATCGTGAGGTGAGCATTCATAGACACTAGTGTGTCATCTTCTTCACCTCCTGGATTTAACAAATCCAACTTCAAGACCAATCTATATAATCTAGTTTGATGATAAAGAAGTAGGTCCTTCAGCATGTTGACAAGTTCAGCTATACAAGAATCCAAATCAGTTAACATGGACTGCTGAGTGAAGAAATTTTGCTAATGGGGTACAAGGTTCGTTCAAATTTTACTAGTTTAGTCAGTCTGTGGCAAAAATGAGCAATAACAGTGCGTGTTGAAGGTATAATGTCCTTAAGTCGGTTCCTCACAATGTGCTACCGTAAAATGTCGCCGCAGGAGGTTTACTACTTCTTACTGCCTGTTATAAGATGAAGATAAAGTTTCATGAATGTGATAATGTCAGAAATAAGCAGGAGTCAAAGAAACAACTTGAATATCATATTCTCCAGAAATCCAGACGTCAAAATTTGATACAACTAACAACATTAGTGACGTTAGAATGCCAATTTCAATCATCTTGTTGCACTGACAAATATGATCCGTCAAGTATGTTTTTATGCAATAGCCTTAGTCACCTCAGAGGCATAGAACTTGGATATATAACCAGTAACCGCCCTGTTACTCTACTAGTAATCGATATTTAACATTTCACAAACTCTACTAGTCAGCAATATGGAAATCTATTTATACTAGGTGATGATTGGAGGTAAAATGAAAAATTAGACCATAGCCAGATTCGAATTAGCGACCATCGGGCTTCCGGTCTGGTTCTGTACCAAATCAGTTGAGCCACAAACACGGTGATCTAAGGTTCAAATGTGGCTGCGGTCCGCATTTTCATTCCACCTTTAATCATCACCCAATACGAATACTTATCTACAAACCTTGGCTATCTTAGATAGTTAAAATGAAAAAACTATTTACCAACTGCCAAGTTTTATGCCAATAAAGACATTACACCACTGCTCTATACAGTGTGATTTGGTTTATTTTCGCAACAATAATCAGTTCACGCTTAAGTGAACAATATCACAAAGTTACACTTCAGTGTAATTTTGTCGAAACAATTTTTTTTAAAATCAATACTGAACCAACGAGTTTTAGCATATCATAATAATAAACATAATTTCATGCAACTGTTTCACAATTTATCATGATTACATATCAGAAAGGAACATGACAAAACTATTACTAACAGGAAATGAAGCATGGCGTGACCTAGTTCCGAGCTAAACTCATATAAACACAGATTGGCTCTAAACACAGACTAGTCTTATGATTGTAAATAGATATTTTACATTAAGTGTGATCACTTATTTAATAATATAACCAAATTCAATTTAAGCACAACCTACTGTTGCTGCTGTTTGATTGCTACAAACAACTCTGATAATATGCCTTTCAAGAGAAGCATCCATCCAATTCAGGTTTACATTTTGTGTCTGTTTTTCTACACATCGATGGTAAGTTCATTTCTCCAGACAGATAATTCATGATTAATACATAACAAATCAGTAAATATCACTGTTCTCAAATGTATTACTGATATGCTTATCTTTACTGTGCTGGTTATTCAAATAGCTTTCGGTTTCCTTATTTTCTTTTGCTCTTGAATTAAAATAATAATTGTTTGTTACTTTTCCATGAACCGGAGTGCATTACAACTTCGTCAAAACCGTTCCAAAAGGTAGTCAACGACACCTTTCACTGACTATTACTGAGGTAAAGGAAAATATGTAAGGTATGTTGCTTAGAACTTCGTTTTCAAATTTTGCTAGTTTTTGAGAGGCTTTATAATTTGGGAGAACACTCACTACCTACGTTACTGTTAGACCTACCCTAAGGTAAACTCCCCTGAGTAACTTTTTCCAGTTATAAGTTTCCAAGGACTGATTTGCTCGACAGGTTGGCAAAATCTCTTACTTTTCTGATCTGTATCAAAATGTGTTTTGTACACTCTGCAACAGTAGACTACCTGCATAGGGTTACCGAGACGACAGGAACAAGTGGATGGGAACTCCTAAGTGGATGAAAATCAGTCACATTGGTGCAAATTTATTCACTCTCTGATGCCTTCTATAGCTTAGATGTTTTAACTGACCAAAATTTTAATATTCCCTCTCCCACCATACATTTTTGTTTACTATGATATCAAGAACAAGATATTCAACGAAGAGACTTTTTTCAACGAATTTATTTCCAGGCTGTACAATTGTATATATATGATATTTGGAAAAAAATTATATCCCGTGAGGAAAACTAAACACTACATGGTGATGACAGTAATAATAGAGCGGATGATGACATTATTATTGTCATCACCATGTAGTGTTTAGTTTTCCTCACGGGATATAATTTTTTTTCCAAATATCATATATATACGATTGTACAGCTTGAAAATAAACTCGTTGAAAAGAGTCTCTTCGTTGAATATCTTGTTCTTGATGTTACAATGGAAATTATTAAATTACTATGATATCAGTCTTTCTTATCCACTTGTTCATTGTATGCGACAGCATAGCAACTTGAACCAAATAATTTGTGTAAGAGATTCTAAGTCGATTTAGTCTATTTGTCGGTTTGCTTTTATAACTGTCTGCAACGAAGTATAATGCTAATGCAGCATACTTGTGACAAGCAAACATTTAACTATGTGACACAGCGTTCGTAAACGTTATCTTTCGGTGCTGACCTATAAAGAAACCTGGTTTTAATCCTTAAAGATAAAGAATTCGTTTACTGTAAATGAATTCCATGTTACAGTTACAGTTCAAAGTGAGTGGAAGCTAGACCGCCTAGCTGCTTACGTGGACTAGTTAGTTAGATACACATACAACGACTACTATTATCATCACTCTGTCAGGGGATTTCTATAATACATTTCTTTACTGTGTTAAAGTTTCATGAACTCCTGGAACCTGAACATATCAGACAACTCTAAAGTAACTAGAAATACGAAGTAAACGATTACAATACAAAATAACTTTCCAAAGTGAAACAAATTAAGGCCTGATTTTGGGGTCTAAGAAGTAAATTTACAGTTTATACTTCGAAAAATGACTTTCAACGACACGCATAACTCGTAAATAACCATCTCGATGGCTTTTCATAAGATAATAAATATAGTACTGGCCCAGTATATTGTAGGTAAAATAACAGCCTGTAACTACTGAAACTCAAATGAATAGGTAATTCAGGGATAATTGAACTTATCATACACTCGAAAGTATTCAACTGTAGCATTTACCATAGAAACTAGGACCCGGACTGAAACACTCAAAAATAAACCTAGCCAACTAACTCCCAAATATGAAGGTATAAACGACATTAACTAACTTAGTGTTGTGTAGTAAACAAATCTTTATAACTTTCGGTTTTCCCATCGATCTAATTCTGAAGTTCTTGCAAAGGTAGAAGCTCGATCAGAAGCGCAATATGACGGCTGATGTCAGTGGAATATCTCTATGACTCTCAATCATGAACATTACTGTTATCTCTAACTCGGCTGTCGAAAAAAGTGACCAACCAATGTTATAATCTTTATTCACTTAGCTACTTCTGAATTATATTTCCCTGACTCTGTCACGTATCCTACCAAATCTGAAATTTTACATTGCTCCATGTTTATTCCAGTCAGTGAGTGGCAATCAAGATGTTTAATTTAACTCGGTAAAGTTCTTTGTTAGGAATTGAACCATTAACAGGCACGCAAACCTACCAATCTCTAACTAAATGGATCAAGACTGAATTGAATTGTAACCAGTTGGTTATTAGACAAACTTATCAAATCAGGTGGGGTTGATAGAAGCTTGTCACTAATTCTAGCGACATTCCAAAAGACTTCTTGCTCATAGACTGAGTCCATGCCTTATGTAACTACTGGACTGACATTTTCCATGACTGAGGTAATAGACACACCGTTCGGATATCTCTGGATAAAAATTCAAGTTTTTCTTCATGTTATCATATCTTATTATCCTGAAACAAAGCTGACTTTTCTATTTTTTTTAGGATTGCCACTCCCAAGGTTCCATTGAAATAAATATACGGTATGAAAACTATCAGGGAAAACTGAAAAATGGACATACTTGTGACATTTTCAACTTTCAGTGTGATGTATTTTGCGTGATACGTGTTTATGAAAGCTCACCGCAGCAAACACAAATGTAAGTTGACTGATATATTCTGACCACCTTCATTCTGGCACATTTTCTTAAATGTTTATCTTATATTAGTTTCCACACTTCTAGTGGTACCATACACTGAATTAAACAGAAATTATAACTGTTGGTTGTGTAAAAATAACTCTTCCATGGAGTATACATGATGACCACTTTAAAATTTCTGCATTATACTGCTATGTAGGCTGACACTCTTCTAAGCAGTACTTTCAATGTCATTGTCAGTACCAACCTCACTAGCCAGTAAACTGTGTTTCAGAAACCCTGAGACTTGAGCAGCAGTAAAACCATCGGAACAAAACCAAGGCTGTTAGTAAGTAGTAACCACTGCTGTTACTTTATATAATTTGGGTCGAAACAATCATATAGAATTTCTTCATATAACTTTGGTACCTGTCGTTAGCAAGGCTTACTTACAACCTTGAGGAAAATCAACGGATATCCTCAGTTAGATTTGACCTCAAGCTATCCAGTGATGCAGTAACTGACATAGTCATTTGTAAACTGATCGATATAATTCAGTCATTACACAAGACTAGACAACATGAAATTGGTAATTCTCCAGTGATTAATCAATAAATTTTTAGCTTACATTTAAATAACTCTCACAAATAGATCGAAATGTTCATTCATTTTATTAGTGCACTGCAAACACTTTTGGTGTGCATACTTATGGAATTATTACTGAAATAAGGTGAATCGTTCCATATTTGTTTACAACAGAAGCCAAGGTTGAATTTCATCATTAGACCTAAGTAAATAACACAGATTTCTTTTTCAGCTGCTAGACTGGACTGAATCCCTATTTGTTTCAATTTAATTTTTAATTAATCTAACCATCTGATTAGGGTTTGTTTAACACAATTACCTGAACGAAATGAAACTGATAAGAAACCTCAACAATATCGAGATGTAAATTCATTGCATTCAGATTATCATCCAGATCTTTGCAGACTATGTTACAAGACTCAGCTTCTCATTTTAAGCTCAATCAATGATTGCTTAGTTTGGCTTTTGTTTAGGCACACAGCTTTTCGTAATTCTTAAGACTGGTTACGCAACCGGATCTTTCTCTTCTAATCTATATTGCCCTCAGATAAAGAGGTGAAGGTATTTCCTTTTTGACAGAAAAAATCAACATCAGTAAAACAAGATACTTATTAGAAAGTCAGAAGACTCTTGATTTACAGAAATAATGACACCTAACCAGCCGTTTGTCTGTCTTGTAAAGCAGTGTTGTCTTGCTGTCTTTTCTTCATCATCAGAAACCAATTTTTTCATTGCACAAAACCGCTGTTGAACATTCTCAGAAGGAAACAGTTTTCAGAATGAAACAGCTACTGAATTTTGGTGAATGAAAAGGAATATGATGTAACAACATGCTTGTACAAATATCACACTGTAGTTATAATGAACTGGCGTTTTTGTAGATCATTTGCATTTCGAATACCTTAACAAATAAGAAATATTGTCAGAAATGCAATGCAGATTGAAGCAACTCATACAGTATTCACGTACTATTTGTGTAAATGGCTTCCTTAAAGAAAATGTAGGAAGTTATACGATTACATGTGACACTAACGTATATAACACAGTGAATTAAAATCATTTAGCTGTAACTTAATTGTCATCCAGAAACTGTCCCTTGGATATAGTTCCACAGCAGCCTAAGAATACGGAATGCTCTCTAAAAACACATAAGCGTAACATCAAACTGGTAAAAAAGGTAACAGAAAGATGAAATTTGAGGTAAGTTATTTCATTCCGACAAAGTATTCAACACTGTCCGAAATCAGACAGGGAAACAATGAAAAATTTATGGCACTAGACAGCTGTTTCTTCCTAATTTGAGAAATCTCGGCGGTACATGCCCACTAGTTCTTAAAGAATTTAATCCAGGACTGTCAGGTCATGTTGTGAGCATGACACTACTCAGCCAATGGATAATAATCTAATGGGTCATAGTTTTTATATTGTGTCAACTAGTAATATAACAGCAGTATTGCCCAGGGCACGAAGCTGTTGAATGCAGTAACCAATAGAAAACTAAGTTAGTGATACTTTTTTTAACTGTTAACTACATTAGCTTTATGAATGTGTTTGGTCTGAGCCTTCGAGTCTTATGCGAAGAAGTATGGTGCACCCTTTGCCAAGAATGTCTAATATGCCACTAGGCAGATGAAAAATGTATGTAGGCACGGAACTATGACCTAGATTATCGCCGAAAAGCTTGCGGTATGACCATAATTACGTCTAATTTCAAACATGAATAATATAAGACAACTTAACATTCTTCATGCATCCTGCTCTGAAACACGTAAGAAGTTAAGTTACCTGGGGAAGTAATTCATGTAAGTATTTTACTATCTACTTACCTTCTTTCAAGCATTCATTCAGAGCCTGATATATTCTGAGGATAACATGGAGTTTAGCGAATAAATAATTCGTCTTTCGTATCGTGTAATTAAACCTGGCAACTGACTCCTGGAAGAATTAGTGTCCAAGTCATTAAATGATTCACTTAAGAAAGAGCTAGACAAACATAGAGATCTATTAGGAAAGCCCTGAAAAATTTTCATTTCCTGCTACCCTCAAACCCCGTAATTGAAGAACATTTGTAAACAATAACATTTCGCAATAAATTCAGTTTGTTCCTTTTCGTTACACAAAATGAAACTTCTTTTATTTACTGACTAAAGTAATGGAATTAACCGTAAAAAGCAAAGCTGTTCAGAAACAATTAGAATGAGCAATGTGATACGTAGTTATTAGAGTTGAGATGAAGAGATCAAAAAATTCTTGAGGAGCAAGTAATACATGTAGACTGCAAGGGTGGTGAAAATTCTCGACTAAAAATGCGCATATTCTTGTAAAATTCTGCCGGAGAGCACATTCAGAAATCAGATTTTGGAGACATTCTAACCACACATCAAGGTATAATCAAACGTATTCTACAAATGATGCATTTCCTGCTAATTCTAGGTCAAATATTTGAAAGATGATAGTATTTCTCAGTGCCTTTTATGAATACTCATACTTTTGAATACTTGGTTTCCGATACAACTTTGGATGGCGAAACGCTCGGAGAGACCTTTAAGTAATACGCACTAACTGACAAAATATGCGCATCAAAAGTTTTATCCAACATTCAACCCACATCAATCAATCTGGCTCAAAATCCTCGGTTTCACGCTTGGTTTAAGTTATTTTAGAAAAATAAGCTATCTTAAGAACTAGTTGAATTGTTGTCTTCTATCTGTAAACACTGAGTTCGGTCCGGTCAAAATTATCTAGTAATCCTTCTTGTTACCAAACCCTAAAAATATGAGACATTTTCAGTGCTATTTCGTACCCGAAAGTCTCAAGACTGAGATGGTAGCAGCTAGAAATCCTTCACCATGCTCGAAGCTCGAATCTGTTAACTGTCTTCTTATTCCTAGTTCCTGAGAAACAATGGTGTCTCTCGACAGTTGATTTGTTTATTCTTTTACGATAAACAGACTAAAATGCTGATCGAAATTTCTGAATCCGTTTTAAAATAACATCATGAAACTATTAGCGAGAAACACAGTCCAAATTAGGTTCAATATATAGTTATTACGAAAATTGAAAAGTTCCGCTGAAGCTTTATAAAGTCTTCAAATATGCCACAAGACAGATAAATCTACAACAAATGCTAATTTTAAAGTTAACCAGGGTCTTTAAATCATGACTTGTAATGGATTCCATATTCATGGATAAGGAAATTTATTTCACAAAATGATCGTAGTAATCTTTATGACAAAAATGTATTATATTCATATTTATCTATCCTTATTGATCTTCAACCATGCATATCCTATGCAATCATATACACTTTAGAGTCAAACTTATTTTATCCATGTCAGTATTCGCAAACTCTTTGAAACTTATTTAATTTATCACCCGTAATTCACAAAACAAAAACGTTTATTAACCTCACTAAGTATTTTGTAGGCAAATGCATAGTATAAAAAGAATTTCTAGAAATGAATATTCTTTGCCTTCATTTATCTTTGGTTCATGATGAATAGAAATTATTGAATGTTCTATCATGACAGAATAAATCAAAAAATGTTATTCATATCAGCTTTTTTAGCACCTATTAAAATAACTGGTATCAAATGATAAGATCAATTCATTTTTCAATATTCTCAAATGATTTTTATTTTAAAATTTTACTAAACACTCTCAAGGTACTTAATTCATGAAGAAAAGACTCCGGTAATTAGAAATACTGGATGGTTAACGAAGAGAATATTGCTAAGTGTTTATCCGTCATCGAGTTCAGTGAGTTGTTTTTCATTATTCAGTACTTATATTGTTCTAGTCGTTTAGATGTTTACGTTTTCAGTCAGCAGAATTTTCATGTAAACTTACAAATATTTAGTTAGTACTGGTGTTGTTGTTTGTGTCATCCCGTCGTTGACTGGACCAAACTGATTGGTCTCTATTGGCAGGTACATCCAGCTGACGGGTACCAAATAGGACGAAACGCTCGTTCTGGATTCCACTACTGGTCAATATCCATCATTACTATAATTAAACCACAGGCAATATCGAAGTATCGGCGTAGGAGCCCATTTGTCAATAAAGATCTATCATTTTGGTCGTATCAATGATGGGATAATAAAAGCAACAACACTAAAACTATACTCGTCGTACAAGCAGTGGTTATCGTGACTCAGTGGCCTAGTGGATTGCGCTCTGATGTTTGAAGTGATCAGCCCTGAGTTGGAGTCCCGGGGGAACAACATCACTCTTTGGAATGCAGGTACATCCAGTTGACGAGTCCCAAAGAGAAAGAAACGCTCATCCTGGATTCCACTGCTAGCCACTATCCACCATTAATTTTGTTAGCACATTTATTATTTCTTCCCTGAATATTTATATTAGAAGCATTCATTGAGATCAGTCTGGTTCTGGAGCTTCCTGCGCAGATATCGTAGTAAAACATGCCTATATCAGACTTGTTTATTTGAAACGGCACACAGTAAGACAGCGTTATTCATCGGATTACCTTTCATCTAACTAATACCTAATACATGCTACAGAAATGAGGCAGTACCTATTCCAAAGAAGTAGAAGTTTTTGACTATCATGGATTACAAAGGATTTGGAGTAATGGTACTATATAAATCAGATGTCCAAAGTTATGTGATTATTCTGATGAGGTAGTGAAATATAATTTGTGCTTCAAACATCGCTGTGTATCGTATCAAACAAACAAACTTTATATAGAAATGCATTCTACCAAAGTGCTTATGTTTTACACTTAAATCAGTCTGAACCTCTTCGGTCTGGTTATGTTGACTTGGTAAAATAAAAACTACAGTTCGGTTAAAACACTCAACACTGTATTTTTGTGTTATTCCTTGTATTAATTGTCAAAAAGATGCGGTAAGTTTATGTAATCACGTCTCAAAAACGTGAGCTGGCATGATTCATCACATTAGGGAGTAAGTGAGCTACAATATATGCTTCTTCTTAGCCTATATTTGACATTGTTTGAGCTCTCAAAATCAGCGGAGAGTATCCCGTTTCCATTGATTTTGGTCTATCTGTAAAGTAATTCGATTCAGTAACTGAGTAATAATCCTACACAAATGCTGTTGAGTAGAATTTTGCTTGACAGTGACGAATTCAAAAAATAGTCCATTTCCAGGAGTTTGTGCCATACTGACATAAAGTGGACATGATTATGATCTCATACTTCAAAACACTTCGTATGGCGATCTAAGGACGTAAACTTTGAGAATCCCAATTACTGAGATATCTTTAAAAGTTTCGTTTGCCTTTGCTGATTTAACAGCAAGAGTCTCGTAAGAATTAGGGCTCCAAGTGATTTTCTCCAGCAAATATTCCCACTGCAGTACTAAGTCTACTCGTTAATCGGGAAGTACACTAAAAAATACTTCAAGGTGACAGAAAGGTCTAACATACAGGTTAAAACTAGTTACCTAATGAGATCAATAAACAAAAAGTAATTCTGACAAAAGAAACAATTATTTTTTTTTAATTTTACAGAGGTTAGGAAAAATAAATGAACTGGGATTCACTTTCATCCTGAAAGAAATCGAACAAAATACAGGTTTTCACATGTGTCCGTAGAAACTTTAGTTTTTCTTAACTTTGAATTTTTTTTCAAGTCATTATTTCAAGTTTCTTAAAATCTGGCACTACAAATTGAGTTCTCCAACATGCAGCTGGTCACCTTAGTGATCACTTATACACGAAACTTCAGAAACCTTGTAGACATACTATCGCTTTTTATAATGTTTTTATCTTTCATACAGTTACAAATGAAAATCGAGGTTGAGATTTTTTCCTTAACTTCAACGTGGATATAAATTAGATATTAGGAATGACATTTCTTGATAACACAAATGAGTAAGTGTTTAAAGTAATGCGCAATAGATAAGAAACTATAAAAGTCGGTGACACCGTTATTCTAAACTTAGATGAATGCAGTAAGGTTTGAAGTTTAGTGCCCACCACTGAAAAAAATACACTTAAACTAGTGAACACTGTTGGCTGGCAGGTCTGCAGTTACATGACTCCATGAGATAAGTTGCCTTGTTTTCTGGCGATCGTCTGATAACCTGCTTCCTTGTTATCGAGACTTGCGAACAAGTGTTTGACGTGAAGTTTTATCAAAATATATAAGACTCAGATCTTTTTAAATATTATTATTTATTCCTTGTGTTCCTAGTGGAACATAGGGCTTCAATAGCAAGTCTCCAGTGTACTCTGTTATCTGCAATCTTTTGAACCTGGCTCCAACACTGCCCACAACCTCTCATTTCTTCCTCACACCATCTCCTCCATGTCACCCTCGCCTCGGACGCCCAACTCGTCGTTTCCCATCTGAAATCCACTCGAGGGCCTGGCCTGGTGCATGATGTCCCCAGTCGGCCTTCTCAGTGTATGCCCAATCCAATCCATCTCCACTTCCTTCCAGTGCATATTTGTTCAGCGATAGGTTGTTGACTGGTTCGTTGCAAGCCAGAGTTCCTTGTTGTTTATTCTTTCTGGCCATCTGATATTCAGTGGCGAGCCAGAGTAGGTGGCAGCTGTTGATGAATGTCTTTAGTTTGTTGGAAATGCTTTTCGTAACACACCAAGCCTCTCAACCATTTAGAAACACTGACTTGACTTAAATTAATGTTGAAAATCCAGATGTTGTTCACGCTTTATGCTGAGTGCAGTGCAGTAGATGTCGATACTGACTTTAGAATAATGAAGGCCTATCTTGCTTTTCCGATCCTGGCTTCGACGTCCTCATCTGTGTCAAACTCAAATCTTTGGTTTTAATATTTCTTTATTCTATCTACAGATCTGTTTATGACTTTCATATTACTTCTTGCCATCTTTTTGTTTAAATGTTTCTAAATGATTGCCAGTCACTGCAGTAATATGAACAATCCAGTGGCATCTGTAAGTGAATGAATTAGAAAGAATTTATTGAAAATCCACTTGTCATCGTTCGAGAATTTTCGCCTTAGCATCTTTTGAATAATAATTCCATCTTCCACTGGATTAAACTGTAGTGAATCCATCTCTTATTTCTAACTAAATTAGAAAGCAGTTTACTAGATAAGTGTAAAGGATAATTTGCATTTAGCTGTCACTGTATGGGCTCTAAATTCATCCTTTATCTATGTGACTTTGATGGGCCTGCCCGATTCGATTTGTTACACGCAGCCATAAATTTCAAGATTACAGAATAAAGTTGCTGTTATATATGCATCTTAAGAACGATCAAAGCACTTTCATACCACAAAGGAGCACATGTTTAGGGAAGTAAGTAGCCAAGGTCTTTACCTACAAATAAGAAGTCACTTTATATACGACTTTAGATTGGAGAGAGTTTAACTAGTAGAACATTAATGCAGAAGCCATGACAAACTTTTAAGGCCGGAAAACTATCCGTGTTGTCACATGAAACACCTCTGGTAATCGCGTCTTATTTCACCTCAAAAGTCAATTATATAAATTCTTGATCTACAAATTTAATTTCTCATGCTTGAGTACATTTACCAGAATCATTAAATAAGAGTGTAGTTGAGGGTAAATAATCTTACATTAACTCATTTGATCCTAACATACCATAAACCAAATGATTATTCAAGTAATTTCTGTTATTTATCATTTCCTCATTAGCTCTCTAAAAGGTAATAGAGATCATATAAGGTAAAAGCAGAAGTTAGTGCTACTCGACTCAAACAGCCTAAAACACTTACACAAGAGAAATAAATGAAGCTACGAATTCTATATCGATCTAAAATATAAAAAAATTTAATAACCCTTTATTACTAGATATCTAAATGGCGAACTTCATCTTTGTTTGAGCTTGTCAAATTCATTCGTTTTTTTCCCCACATATTTGTGCGACTCAACAACTGGCTTCTTCTAGATTATCTTCCTTTATCCAATTCCATATTCACATACATAACAGTATTGACACATAAAACCCTTCACTATATTTCATTCCCTCTTTGACTTATACTAACTCTTATTCCCATTATTTTCATTATCGAAATGAATAGAATCCATTCTATGTTTGAATCACAATCATCAAACATATTAAAGTCCACTGACGTTCATCACCGCTTGCTCTCAATAAGAAGAACCTATCTAAAGTGATTGCTTCTAACCATCTTGCTTGTCATGGAATTGAATCCCAGCAATAGTTGATTTAGCTATTAACCTTCACTTAAGTATTTCATAAAGGGAATCACTGAACTACTTTACATTGAAGACTTAGTGTTATAAAATGTCTGTATTGTTAATAAATATTCATTGTAATGGGTTGAGAAAGAAAGGAATTAGGCTAAATGTTATCGAAAATCATATTCTATGTCGATACAATTGCGTTGTAAATTATAGCAGGAAATATCGAGAGTATGTAGTCACCACTGAGAAACAGACAACACGAAACTAGTGACGCTGAATTGGCCAATCAGTGTACCCAATCCAATTCTAAGAGATGTCATTCACAGTTGAAATAACTGACTGCCACACTGGGTGATGCAGGTTTGATTCTCTCATAGGAAAACAGTTCCTTCGAGATTGCAGATACTGTCTAGTAACGAGTGCTAACAGGTACAAAACCTGGCAATTTTCTCTAACAATCATAGAGTATATTTCCAATGAACATTTTGAAGCCTAATAGTCTAATTTCGTTGGTTGTGGGCAGCAGAAGATTTCAGGATGCATGTTTCGTTCTATTTGGGACTCATCAGCTGAATGCGCCTGAACCCCATTGATGTTGTTCCCACTGAGACTCAAACCTCATAGCCATCGCTTCAAACGCCAAGGCGTTATCCACTATGCCACAGAGGAAGGATAGACACTTCTTGTACAAAGGGGAGTAGTTATTACTATTTGTCGACATACTTGTTATTCTCGCAAATAGGACGAAACGCGCGTCCTGGATTCTTCTGCTAGCCACAACCAACCAAACAATCGTAATTAACATTCAGGCAATTTTGGGGCATCCGCATAGGAGCCCATATGCCGATAGAGGTCGAACAATTTGATCCAACAAAACAACGGAGAACAACAAGTATGTCAATAAGCAGTAGTAACTAATAGTCTAACGCCTACAAACTGTTACAAATTCGGTGTATTTTCATCAACTTGATCAATGGTCATACTGATAGCGTTATTCAAGTTTATCCTAAATATGAAAATTCATTAAAAATTATATTCATGACTCCTGATAACCTCAGTGATTCAGTTCCTGGTGGAAATTAAGAAAATGCATCAATCGTAGTTTACAATCTCTGTAACTGAAAGAAAGGCATTTTCTAACTTTAGGTGGTATCTTTCCACTCATATGAACCAAAAAAGAAACAAATTTTACTCACCATTATTCTGTTTGACATTAAAAGAACAGCTTTGAAAGCATTTCTTCACAACATCTGGATTCCTTGTTTACAAATGAGTCAGTCCATCTGATTCTTACTTGAAAGTTATAGAAAGACAAAGCTTAGAAATTAGAACAGTGAGATAAAGTATGACAATAAGTTGTGTAGGTACAGTTTTTGACTAAACTATAGTTTTAAAGGCAGAAAAATCTGTATCACCTATAACCTCACCTTTTAGTCGGCAGGCTGTATCACAGAACAAATCAAAAATCTTTATTAACAGAATACTCAATAGAGAATCATCAATCTATTTCAATTTCTTTTCATTCAACGTTTTTTTAAGTTTCAACTTTTTATTCTGTGCCCTAAGTAAAGTGATTATGCTTAAGAATATTACTTTCCTGCGGCTGCAATCCTCAGATTTAGATAACCTTCATTACAGTTCACTTCTGTGTCTTTATTCTCATTCCAAACGATTTGGTTCACATCAATAGAATACCAAAAACCTTTATAATGGTGTGCCACAAATTTTTATTCAAACTATATGCTCAAATCACTGGAACTGCTATTTGTCCATCACTGATTTTCGCCTACATTAAGAAGAGAAAGGTTTTGTTCGCAACAATTAGAATTGATTTGTGCCCATTTCTTCACACTCTCAATGTGAAGTGCTGTGAATGTTAAATAGTTTCTAATCTGAAATAACGTTTCAAAGCTTACAACAGAAGACTGGTTTACACGCATAAAAATATCTACCGTCTACTGACTCAAAGCATGATAAAACATGATTTGGGCAGTTGTAATATAACATACTTCTAGGACTAGAAATACAATGATTGTACCAGTTATACAGTTTTTTTTGACAATTCGGTTCGATTGCAAAATAATTTATATAAATTCTAGTCAAGATTCAGCCGGATAGTTTCACAAATATTGGATGCTGAGGGAAAAGTTGACATTAGATATAAGTTATATTTGGAAAGATCTCAGCCTGTTTGAAGTAAGAAATTCCAATTTGTTTTCTGAAAAGTCTGGCTCGAGCTTTTTCAGGGAGAAAGTTTTTTCCCTGAAGAAGCTTAAATCAGGTTTCGTTGCAATCAGTTTGAATTTCTTATTTCAAACACGCTGAGATTTGTCCAAATATAGCTATGCTTCAAGGACTTATAGATATGTTTATCTTTGCATATAAAATATAGTGTCTACCAAGACTTTTGGTTCTGGAAATGATTTTTTATCTTTCAACTTCGTGTAAGTTTAGTCACGGCTAACCCAGTGTTCCCAGACAAACAGCTGATATCCAATAAAGTAGCTTTCTTCTCTAGAATCGACTTTGAATGTACAGCTTCATTCGATGAAAGAAAACACTTTGATAAATAAAACGTTTTTAACAAATAAGTGGTTTCAGTTTGGAGATTTGTGGGGATTTATTCATTTCAGAATAGTATTTGTCATGGACTGATATCAACCACAGAACCATTAGAAACCTGCGAGTACTGGAAAGTTGTTGTGTCCTAGAATGAGACTCTTCAACAATGTGCACATATAACCTTGTCAAGAATCTAACCCATATTTGTCAGGTTTCTCAGATAACTCACTGCCACTCAGCCACTTGGTCAGAATCCAATTAGCCATATGGCATGAACTTCATATAATACCATAGTTTGGCATTTGTCCTCACGTCTGACTTGACCTACCCAACTGGTTATGAATTCTCGTTAGAACTTCAGAACATCTCATCTCAGAGCTTGTCACGAACGAGTATGGATGAGTATGAGAACTCTCAGTGCTCGTAGGTTTTAAATGCTTCTCTAACTGATGTCAGCCCGTGATAAAATACGCATTTTCATTAACATCCCATCAGGCTGCTGCTTTAGATACAGCATTTCAAGCTAAGCAACAAACACACGTCGGTTGGTTACATGAGTTTCCGACAGTTATCTGTAAGCTGATTATAGAATTACAACTGTTCAAAGTTTATTTCACAAACTTTTGGATAACTAATTTATAAATGAATTAACAGGTGTATGGATTAAAACTTACAACTGAAATAAGACTAAAAGTTATGACACCCAGTGAGTAACCATCGCATATTATGTAAAATGAAAGTTATAAACACGTAAAGATGCAAATTAATATAAAAAAAAGCTAAATTAGATTAAAATAAAATAGGAATAGGTAATTTGAGTCATTTTGTACCTGGATTACGCAAACTTCTTCACAGAATGCTACAGAAGTATAAGACAATACTTGAGATATTTTTGCACTCAGAGATTAGTTTTCATGATTTATCTCGCAATACATTCAGCAATTTAATGAAGAAGAATTCTTACTGCTTGTGTCGTCCCATGTGGTAATTTGTAGATGGATGAGAAATCAAATCTAATAACGACATTGTGACTAGTGTAAATTAAGTGAGACTGGATAGGTCTCGTAATCTTCTTTATCTCTAATTTTCCTAGCCAGACTGGCAGATTTCCTTCTGTATGGTCTGGAAGGGTTCTCATAGTTCGTACTAAGTATCTGACCCTTCAAAGTTAGCTGAATTTATAGGTTTACATTGACATGTAAGTGTTAGAAATTCCATCTTTCAAAAGCAGTGGTAAGATGCATATACTCCAGAAGATCTATCTCAGAGTAGCTATAGGAAAAGCCTTTTACAACGAACATTGAAGTCTCCATACAACAGTTTCAGCTAGATTTTAACTTCCAAGTCGAAGATTGATGAATGTTTGCTTCTTATCACAGCTGAAGATGACTGGCTAGTCCGTTCTTCTTATCGTACTCTTCTTAATGAAATTTTCGGAATATCCATTCCTCATAAATGCATCCATTAAATCTCGTAGTTGTTTATTAATCATAGTCAACCATAGTCAAAGCAAATTCCTTCTGTCCGTACCAGCAGATATGGAACCAAGTTCCTCTATTGCCATAACAGAACAAAACTGTAAAAGTATGTATACTTTCACTCTAAGGTGATTATAGGTTAATATTTCTGGCGTCTCCTCCGTCCGACTAGGTTACAAGGACATTGAAGAAAGAGATCTTGATATGAATTTAAATTCCTTCCAAAATACAACAGATGTTTTTCAGTGAAGACTAAAATTCTTGATTGAACATTGGACTGTTTCTCTAGAAAGTGTAATCTCCAATAGCCCAATTATTTTAAACTGTTTACTGTATTTTTTTAATCAGGACCAAAATGAGGTGAAGACATATTTTTTAGATATGAATTTTTACGATGATGATCCATTCACGTCTAGTGACAATATAGCCAAGGTTTATGGCACTTTACAATTTACATCAGTTAACCTGCCTACACCGGTCGCATTGACTTCAGACAATCCATATATATCGTGAGTTTAAGATTAATTATTTTTTCAACTCACTCATTGTAACTTTTAATTATAACTGATTATCATCTATTTGATAATTTGCTTCACAAGTCAGTCATGAATAAAAGAATCAAATAAAATTACAAGTCTTAATGTGGGTATAACTGATTGCATTCCATTTTGCAAATCAAAATGTTTCACAATAGAGATAAGAGATACATTCTTTCGAAAACTACTTCTTTTAAACACTAGCTAAGCTTTTGATAGTGACCCCTTGGTCCTGTCATTTCAGTGGAATAAATCCATTACTGAAGAATGCACAGTGGTTGATGAGTTCAAGAACCTTCAATGGAGAAACTTGTGCACGTTGTATTCCTAAAAGGTGATCTCTATATGACAATGAAAATGATCATCGGTTAATTTGGAAATGAAATGGTGAGAATCATTTACAGGCATCTATGCTACATGATGAAATTTAAAGTTTGTCTAAATACAACATAGTTTCGATAAACTTATCATAATACAGAGGTAGGATTTATCACGGACTAACATCAGTTGGGGAACCAATGAAAACCTAGGAGCACCGGACAGTCGGAACGGGAGCGGATACCAACTGAAGGCCTTGGGTGATAGTCATGCTATATCATGAATTGACAGAAGTCATAAGCTGTGAACCACTGAAAACCGACCCAGTGGTTGAATAGTTACCGCGTTTTGCCGTGAAATCTGGAGGTCCTGAGTTCGATCCTTAGCCAGGTCTTGGGTGTGTACTGTAGAGGAGTTCCGTAGTAGGACGAGATATCTGTCCAGTGCTCTTAGGTTTTCAATGGTTCCCCAATTGATGTCAGTCAGTGATGACTACTATTTCTAGATTAAAATCTCCGTCCATCTCAAAAATGATCATAATATAATCAATCATGCTTACTCCTCACATGAGAAATCAGCAGTACCAGACAAATACAATGTAGGGAAATAGGTTTATCTCATAAAAAGCCAAACATTTTCAGTTCTTATTAAAATGATTCGCTTTACTACTTGGATTTCTTGTTCTGTGTGCATGCGTTTATTGCGACTGATTCTTTAGACTCATATTCTAAAGACATCTCAGTAATTTATAATATTCACTTCATTCTACATTTGAACAGGACGCGAAATGTTTTCTACTACAACCTAGTCCTGTCTTTTTTTCATTTTTTACTGTTATTTCAGTGTTAAAGCTGATGCACGGATCACATGCAGGCAGCACTACTATTCTACAAACTGCAATGTATTTTGCATTCCCCTTGATTCAGTTTACACATGCGGTAAAAATGGAGAAAAATTATGTGCACCCGGTAAGCTGACCTGAACGGCACAAGTTTCTTCATGGTTTTTAATATATTTCAATGATGCGTAACTAAATATAAAGTTTCTTTTCCAGCTACTTAAACAATGTTGAGCACATCAAGAAGTTAGTTGGCATACTGATCAAACTTGTCAAAACATTAAGTACAACACCAATTACTATCAAGCTATTTAGTTATATATATATATATATATACTTCACCCATCATTCTTGCCTCCTGTGACTGATGAAAAACGTCTACCTATAATCTTGAAGAAAACTTAACTTCTTCTGAAGATCTGCAAATGTATCTCTCATTGCTGAACTTAGGGGCGTGAATACTGAGCGTCTATAGTTTTAAGTACTAGATGAAGATTATCAACCAGTATATTTCAGTGGAAGAGTAACTAGTTGCGTTACCCAAATAACATGAACGCAAATATTCAGAAATACAGATTTTCGCTTTGATTTCCATATATATTTTGTTCATAAATACAGATAATTGCGTTATCAACGTCTAATATTATTACTTTTATTATTTTTCCTTTGGGTTCCTAGTGGAGCATAGGGCTTCACTAGCACGTCGCCAGTGTACTCTGCTCTCTGCAATCTTTTGAACCTGGCTCTAACACTGCCCACATGCTTTCGTTTCTTTCTCACATGATCTCCTCCATGTCACGCTCATCTCGGACGCCCAACTCGTCGTTTACCCTTTGAATTCCCCTCAAGGGTCTAGTGCGTGATGGTCATAATCGGCCTTCTCAGTGTATGCCCAATCCAATCCATCTCCACTTCCTTCTAGTGCATATTTGTTCAGCGATAGGTTGTTGATTGGTTCGTTGCAAGCTAGAGTTCCTTGTTGTTTATTCTTTCTGGCCATCTGATATTCAGTGGCGAGCCAGAGTAGGTGGCAGCTGTTGATGAATGTCTTTAGTTTGTTGGAAATGCTTTTCGTGACGAGCCAAGTTTCTAAACCGCATAGCAGCACTGACTTGACTGAAATTAATGTTGAAAATCCAGATGTTGTTCACGCTTTATGCTGAGTGCAGTGCAGCAGATCTCGATACTGACTTCAGAGAAATGAAGGCCTATCTTGCTTTTCTGATCCTGGCTTTGACATCCTTGTTTTTGCCGCGGCCTGTAGTTGAAACGATGCTGCCGAGGTAGATGTAGGTGAAGGAGACTACTTCCTTTAGGTTTCTCCCGTTGATGGTCATTGGTGCTTGTTGTTGATGCTGTCTTTGACTGGGTATCTTCATCACCTCCATCTTCTCTATGTTCACCTGAAGTTCCGTCTTCGATGCTTCGTCTATCAACTTGTTAGTTTTCGCCCGTAGATCTTCGAGTTCATGCGACGACACATTAGACATAAATCACCGTCGGCGAAATCCAAAACTTCTAGGGTACTTTCATCAGTCCAGCCAGCGTATGCCCCTCTTCTTTCTCCTCATGGTTTACTGCATGATCCAGTCCAGTTCATCACAGTCACGAGGATAATTGGTGATAGTATACAACCTTGTCTCACTCCTTCCTGTCTTCACTTCAAAGGCATCACTGAGCTGCTTTCCACTGTGAATCACTTGGCATGTAGCATCATATAGCATTTAGCTGCTGTTGAATGAGGTTGATAAAGGTTTGTGGCACTAAAACCGTAGTGTGGTGTTGAAGCAGCAGCTGCCAAATTACTTCTCAGTCGACGCTATCGAATGAAGGGCTTTTCAAAGTCGATGAAGTTGAGGTATAGAGTTGACTGTCATTCTACGCTCTGTTCTATGATGATGCGTAGCGTTGCGTTGCGTTGCGATTTGATCCGCACATGATCTGTTTTTCCTGAATCCAGCCAGCCGGTTCCGGTTGTAATTTTGAATGCAGCGTATTTTTCAGTCTCTCCAGGATGATACGGCATAATATTTTGCTTGGTGTGGAATGAAGCATGATTCCTCATCAGTTCTTGCAAAGACTTAGGTCTCCCTTCAATGAGTGTTTGACAAGGTAGCCCTTCTTCTAATCTTCAGGTACCTTATCTTCCGAACCTTCTGCAATAGTGTTATGACCATATCCGCTATTGTCTCTGCGTCTGATCAACGTATATGGTTCTCTATTAATTTCCATGGGTCAGTGAGTGCTGAAGATTGAGTTAGTAAAAATTCTAATAACTAGTTGGTTAAACAAAATACTGTATTCGACAAATTATTACTTTTACTGGTCCTGAAACAATCTTACTGAACTCCTGCTTACAAAGAATTGTCTCGACTTATTTTGATATTCGACTGTGAGAAATGAAAAGTGTACATCAATCATCATTCACGTTAGTGAGAACTGCATTAGGTTGGAGAGAAAAATCATTTACACATGATTCATACTTCCCTAAACCCTAATAAAAGTAAAAACCATTGGATCAACTATACCGATATGATGATGATAACATGAAATATAATCCGAAAAAATGCTAGCAGTAATAAAAACCGTATAACTGAAGATATATTATTCTTTTCACTCCTAAATAAAGACTTCTTGTATAATAAAATAACCTGGAAACAGCCAGTAATTTTTGCCTTTGAATAAGTCTTGTTGATACGAAAAACCTGGTCGTCACTAATAATGTGAGGAGTCCAATGAGGGGACTTTCATTCGGTGGCCAAAGAAGTCAGTTAAATTTGTTTCTGATAAGGTTATAAGAATCATACAAAAACTATAATTCAGAACTTTAGCTTAAAATATTGTAGTTATGTAATTACAAATTTATTATAAGGTGAGACTATCACTAGCCAATCTTCTCCTGTAATCATTTTCTGTTTCAAGGGAGGGTAGTCTCTTTTGATAAAAACGTTTATTAAAGGTTGACAGTTTCTCTTCTTATGCTATTGAAAAGAAGGACGTACCTGGCAGGAAATTCATACGAAGGAAAATAAGAATTGTTATTGCCTTGGAAAAATGTTAAAATTTTGTTCGAATACTTATGCGCATACCAAGACATTCTACCTGGAAGCGAAAGCGATATTCAATAAACTTTCTCACCTGTGCAACAGATAAAGGTTTACTAGTTCAGTTTGTTGATTTTTAGGAATATATTAACTTAAAAGTATTATTCATCAGGAATCAACGTCATTTGAAGAACTACCGAAATCACTGATACACTAGACAGCTGTTTTCGCTTGTTCAGAAATCCTCTATACTGCATACCCATGACTCCGAGTAGCATCGAACCTACTACCGCTAGGTTCCATGATGAGTGCGCTATCACTTGGACAATAAACTGAGATCTAATATAACAAAGTTTCCTGATCATGTCAGTGAGCAATAAAGCGTAACTGTCATCCAATACCTCCAGTGAGCACGGAAGTCACTCCCAACTGGGTTTATGCTACACGTCAAGTAATGCGTCTCAAAGTGACTCACTTGTGGATACTGAGTCCCTAACGTGGTCGTGGTGCACGATGAAAAGCCCTGCACTAGGATGAAATAGTCATCTATTGTCTTTATGTTTTCAATGACTTTATAGCTGACATCAACTGCCGATGAAAGCTACTTTTAAAAGTTCAGTGTTTACTTACAATAAATAAATAGCTACGACTTTGAAGCTAGAGAGTGAGGACTTTATATACACTGACGTAGGATTATTTACTATGCTCACTAACGGGATTTTCAATCACTAGTTTGTTCATGAGATTCACTAATCTAAAGTCTCTTTGTATCAGGATAGATCAATTACGTAAAATGTGAAAGTACCTTAAAGATTGATTAGCCTTTAATTCTATTCATGAGGGTTCCAGAAGATGATTTCATGAAGCTTTACTTCAAAGATTTTAGTCATTCTTATTCTGAAACGTTGCCAAAAGTTAGTGTCTTACTTGTGAGAATAAAGTTCGGAGGAATATTTTCTTCTTCAGAGATTTTCTTGCACACTAAAAGCAATACTAACCTTCAGTTTGTTCAATAAAGGTCGTTGGACGATAACAGCAGGCAATTATGTTCAAAATGAATAATATCCACGAACTCATGAGGGTTATAAAGGTTTTATAAAAGTTACTGAATTGAATGGAACTGTTGGTGGTAACCGTAGAACTCTTTAACAGGCTTTGTTTGTATCAACACTGGTATCACTATAGTTTATATATATCTGCTAAGCTAACCACAAAATGATAGTGAATGAACTTTCATGACAAAGGGTATAGAAATGTGACCACATGACAGCATCTGGAGAGAAATATATGGTTCCACTCATCCCTCACTAAGTCGATATGGAAGATAATTACTCACAAACAACTGATATCCGGGGCTTTTATTTAGTTATAACTTTCGTTGAAACATTCGACTATCTGCTCACTAATTTACATCAATTATTTTTTACTGGATATCCTTTTTCCCTTTAGGAAGAACAGGACCGGATTGTATCAGAGATTACTGTGCAGCAAAGTCATGTCCTCATCCAACAGTGTGCAAGAATTTACCTGACAAACACAAGGCTATATGCATCTGCCAGGAAAAATATGGTAATCTGATCCCAATTCAAAAAAAATGTGATCATTTACACATTTTATGAATATTCCTAGGTAAATATTGTAGCTGGTAGACATTATCATTAATTATGGAGTTGATATTTAACACTGAGAAAAAGTGGTTGTAAGCAGTTACAAACCAGTTATCTTAGCATCAATGGTTCGCAGATGTACATGCTCAGTTAAGAGACTAAACCGTTAATACTGAATTTCACCATTACTTCAGCAACAGAAACGTTTTCAGACGTATTTGAAAAAAGTCACTACAACGTAACACAAATACTTTTCAGTGTGACTTATACTCCCAAAAGCTACTAACAGAATGATAGAACAAAATAATTATTGGATTACTTAACTTCTAGAATGATTATCTAGTCACTTTAATTTCAAAATGCTGGGCAATCATAAGCTCAGTAGCCTTCAACAAATTCTCTCTGCCGTCTGAAGATTTAGAAAAATCCTATGTTGTCTAATGTCGTGTCAGCATAGATACTTAACTGCTGGCATTTCATCACCAGAATGATTGACGGCAATAACAATTCTCTAAATTTAAATAAAGCTGCCTGGGTTATTGACACAAAATGAAAACAGGATCAAATAATTAGCGATGAAATGATGGCCTAGAAATCATTCCCACCATAAGAAAATACTTCACAGTTAAACACGTTGCACAATAGTGTGTATGTCACAAATTCGCCTTCTATACTCATCAAGTCAATCTTAGAGTGTCCATTTAAGAAGCTAAGATGTCTCTAAATAGCGATATATATTGTCATGGATCACGCTAACGCATCAATAATATCAAATCTTAAAAAATGGTGATATCAAAGCATCCGCATTCTAGCCCGTATGCTATAGTGCCCTTTCAGTCCAGTCGAATGAATGATGGGAAATTATAAACTGTAATATCCAAATCAGTGTATTCTCACTGACAATAAGTTTTCAGCCAGGACTACCACTGCATAAATAGTGATTTCATAGGTGGATGTTTCCATCCCGAACTGGATATCACTAGATTCACGTACCTATTAATATATAAGATCATGCCAATTTTCTTTATTAATCTCAGCTATGATATTACAACAACCTTAGTAATCTTCAAAAAATCAACTCAGTATATAAAAACACTAACTTTCAGGCACTGGATGTGATGCGTGTCTTTCAAACCCATGCAAAAATAATGGTCAATGTCAAACAGTCGAAGATGATGAAATTGTCTGCACGTGTTCTGACAACTGGACAGGTGAATTGTGTACAACTTCCACAGAAAGGAATACATCTTATCGACATCAGCCTTCACTGCTTAAAGCAGAGTACCCCAACAAACCAAAATGCCTGAATGGTGGAATTATTGACCAGAACCATGCACACAACAGATGCATATGTAAACATGAGTGGACAGGAGTTCGTTGTGAGACGATGAAGAGTAATGACAGAGAGGTAAGTTAATGTTTAACTTAGAATGTTCGCCCAGAGTGATAGAGCTTTCGGTGATTATTAGCAGAGAAATTCATAAAGTACACTTATCCTGTTGAGTTGAGGCTTTAAAACAACACACATTTTCTTCCTCCAACTTTTTAATCAGTGGTATCCCATGTTACTGCGAGTACTTCTTTCATAACAAATAAAAGATGCCAGAATAGTTTATTATTTTTCAACTATTCACTGGATTTAAGAAGTACGATAATATCTCTTCTGACAATTAGCAATATATGACACATTATGGAATATGAAAAGCGGCTTAAATCCTACTTAAAAATGACGTAGTAAGTTTATACTCTAATAGAAACCGGTCTCTCAAGTCCAATGTAGCAATAATATGGACATAGTCTTATCTATTGCATGAAACTGAAAACAAAAAAGACAAAATTATACCTGTCTATATTCCAGTGGTTATATATACTGTTGTTCACTGACAGTAATGTAAAACAAGAAAAAGGTTTCTAGTGGTGCTGAATACAGTTATTCTTAAGATGAGGTCAGATCATCGTGCTTAATTCTAGTGGAGTTAACATAGAACAGCATATGAGCTTTGAAGTTGCATTGACTGCTATCAGTATGCCATCTTAATCACTGTGTCATCCTTGAAATCGAATTAATGGGTCAACATACTATACCTTTAGGATTCATAACCAAACGTTTTGAATATTTTGGAATTTATATCCCTCGTACATCAACAAAGGTATTTCTGATTGTGTAATCTCAATGAAAAGATGCATCAATAGGTGACAGACAAGTTCAACGCAAATTTGCTGAATGCATCTCAGGGCAGTTGGCAACACTATGTTGGCTAAAGCGAGCGCTCTCATTTTGACATCTACAAATAAATAATGATAGTAGGACTGCACATTATTTTGTTATTCAAATGAATTTAAGAGCAAGTCATGAACAGAATAAACAAGAGAAGAAAAATAGAATTTGTTCAAGCCCGGTCATCAAGTTCACCAGTTACTGACAAAGATGCTCACTCTGTCAGTGGGAGAAAACATTAGTTGAACGAGTAACACTGGCAATTGTAAATTTTAACAGATTTTACCATTAATCTAGAATGAGCTTTCAGTGCCTGGCAGGGTCATTGGTGAGCACTGCTGAGGTGTCCCGTACTAGGATGAAACAGCTGTCCAGTGGTCTTGAGTTTCCAATGTTCCTTCAATTGATGTCAGTCCGTGCTTAACACTAACTGGAAATCAGCAAATCCTGAAAAAACCCCCAAATTCAATTTTATCTAATAGTTGCTTTACGGCATTATTTCACTGCCGAGTTCTCAAGCTGCTTTTTATTCGCCAACACGAATAATTAATAACGTAACCACAAAATTCTTCTCGGCTCAAGTGTCTTAGTTGTGTATTTTTTTTCTTGTAGTTTTGAATTTTTTATAAATTGATAACTTACAACTGAAATCTAGAAAGCATTAGTCACTGGTGGATGGGATCGCTTCCATGACGGGTTGCAACCTGTCATCTTGTCACTTCCTAGTTGGAAGACAAGAGTATCAATCACATTCAACATTAAAGGACAAGAATATTTGTTATTCAAGATAAGCATCAAATTATTACAAGTGAATATAGGAACTGTCGTGTGACAACCGAACCAACATGTTACACAGCTACATCATCAGAGATATCCAGCTTTCATTAGGTGCAATGAAAACACGTAACTACATGAGTATATAATATTAAATATTTTTTCAGCCAATCAAATCTTAGTTACTAAACAACCTGTGTCGACAAACAACAACGAATTGATCGTTGTATTGCTTAGTGCTTGGTGAACTTGTAGTAAGCTCATGTTGCATTTATCCTGTATTCTTTTAATTTTCAACGTGTGAATAAATGAACACTTACTACCTCTGTACCGAATTACAAAGATTATCGGACGACAATCCATTTTCAAAGTATTTTTCTGTTTCCCACAATAGGTGAAAGTTGAGATGGTTCTTACAGTCTGCCTAACTTTTCTCTTACTCATCGTTCTTGCTGGCTTTCTTAATTACTATCTAAAATACAAACGCAGTAAAAAGTAAGTCATGGAACCTATTTATATTTTATCAATTTTCTGACATTTTTAAATAATCCAATATGCCGAAAATTCAATAATAAAACTGTTATTCTCAAATATGACGTGAAATGGTATCATTTCAGACTCAGCTGACTACTTGAAACAGTTTTGATGCACTAAGTGACTTATAGAAATCAGGATAACAACTGAAGGTGGAACCTGCTGTTTGAATTCTATTGAATCAGGTTTTTACTCACTTCTCACACCATACATAAAGCCGTCTGTCAGCCAAGCCTGTATCGACTTTTTAAGGTAATAACAGATCAGTTAGCCCCTTCTTTCAGGAGATCAATTTCTAATAAGGATATGTAAGCTTGACTGCTTTACTAGACAACAAATAAAGTTGCATCTGTGTTTCACATGGAATCAAAATACCACAACGTCTCTCCAGAAGCTTAAGTGAAATGTTTCCTACATCACTCACTTATCAATCAACATTGAATTCTGAGCGAAGTCTAATGAACTGTAGCCTACCTGTAAACATAGCAGATTTCCACACAGCTCAAGAATAACTATTAGTGAATTCTTTCAAAAGCATTCAGATTTAACAGAAACAACCAAACGGTACCATCTGGTTCTTAGTAGTTATTTGAATGACATCAACTATTCCGGGTTCGAGTTTTGGTAGGAACGACATCACTTACTAGGAGCCAGATGCATCCAGCTGACGAGTTGCAAACAGGATGAAACGCATATCCTGGCATCCACTGCTTGCCACTATCCATCATTTGTATAACACTAAAATCAATTAATATGTAATCAAGTAATTGTGGTGAGAATAGACGACAAAATAAGTTTTTATTATGATCATTTGAACTTTTGACCTTCAAATAGGTTTCATTCAATGTGAGTCAGAAATCGTGTTAATTCTCTTCAAAGTATTTTAGAAAAACTAATAAAAACAAAATATCTTTCGATTTTGGTGTGATATGACGTTATGAATTCCTTTCAATAATTAAGACTAAATCACTTCTGCTATCCAAAAGCAATCCCTCGACATCAAACGATGGACAAAGAGTGATACACATACGATCTAAAGTGAAGCACATTCAAATCATTCACTCTTTAGTTTGTTATAATGATGATTGGTCATTTTGAAATGATAAAATTGATATTAGTAGTTTTGTTACTGTGGATGGTCGTTTAAAGAAGTCAAACGTATTTCTGGATAGTAAAGGATATTATTTCTTATAGTTCAAAGTGCAACGGATTTTTATGAGAAACAAATTAATGAGATGAATGTGTACCAAACCGATGCAATGACTGAATAAGCAAGGGCTTTCGTTTCAGCCAATCAAAAAATTTACTTCATGTTTAACTTTTCCCAGGTGGATTAGGTTATCACTTAAGCCTTCATTACACACAAAGAAGTGATATTCATCACAGACTGACATCAATCACAGAACTGCTGAAAACCTGAGCACACTGAACACCTGCTTCATTTCAGCCGAGGACTGTTCATCAGTATGCTACCATGATGTCCTAAGGGTTGAGTCTAGGATTTTTGGTTCTCACGGAGAGCGCGCTCTCATTCAGCTAGTAGGTTAAAACTAAAACGTATACGTATTTCTACTTCTGTCAGTTAGTAAACCACCAAATTCCAACCTGGTGGCTCAGTGATAACTGACTCTCAGTGAACTTTGATGATCCTGGAGTCAATCTCTCAATGAGCCATCTTAGTGGTACTCATCAACTCATACCAGTTTTTGTGTGAACTACCAAAATGAGTCCATAGTTAACCAGTACAATCTGTTTGACTGTAAAGAAATCATACATGGATAAAATGAAGATGTAATATATGTTTAGCTCCGAATGAGTTGTCCGTAAGTAGGTAAATCAGTCAGGAAGAATTGTTAAAATGAACCATGGTTTCAGATTTCGAAGGCACAAAATCGACAGTCAAAATATCCCCAATATGACAACTGGAAAAACCAGTCTAACTAAAATGAGTATGACACTGATTCATCACTAAAAGCAACCATTTTTATGTTATCTAGTCCTGAATGCAGACAGAGTTCTATCAATCATTTTCCACGAAGCTAGGAATTGCGTCATCACGGTGCACTTTTAAAGACGTTAGCTGGTTAAAAGCAATCCGCAGGAGGCCCTACTTGACCTTGATTCCGTGGTTTTTTACACTGGCCAGCAAGGTGTATCTGTCACCTCAAAAAAAAAAGAATTAGTCCTCTTAGATTTGAACTCCTATCGCAGCCTGAAAAGTTCAATTATAACGTACCTGACAACAATACAGGGTGACGCAGGTGCGAATCTCAGAGGGCAGATCACTTTCCTCGAGGTTGTTGAAGAGTGCCAATAAACAATAAACCTAGGTGGACCAGGGTTTCCTGACAATTGCCTCCAACTAAATAACACTCAAATAAGTATCCCTCGTAATTTTCAGTTAGGTTTTCCAATTACATAGAAACTATGTAATCTAGGCAACTAACATCATTATGCTTATGACTTCAAGTGAAACAGTTAGTAGATATAAAAATTGACGGCAACAGTAAGAAAGTATCCAGTCATTGTGGATCCCTCCGAAGACTGCATAAGTATATCGACAATTATTATTATATTGTTCGTCCCTTGGGTTTCTAATGGAACAAAGGGCTTCAATAGAACGTCTCCAGTGTACTCTGTTATCTGCAATCTTTTGAACCTGGCTCCAACACTGCCCACAACCTCTCATTTCTTCCTCACACCATCTCCTCCATATCACCCTCGCCTCGGACGCCCAACTCGTCGTTTCCCATCTGGAATCCACTCGAGGGCCTGGCCTGGTGCATGATGTCCCCAGTCGGCCTTCTCAGTGTATGCCCAATCCAATCCATCTCCACTTCCTTCCAGTGCATATTTGTTCAGCGGTAGGTTGTTGATTGGTTCGTTGCAAGCTAGAGTTCCTTGTTGTTTATTCTTTTTGGTCATCCGATATTTAGTGGCGAGCCAGAGTAGGTGGCAGCTGTTGATGAATGTCTTTAGTTTGTTGGAAATGCTTTTCGTAACGCGCCAAGTCTCTGAACCATACAGAAGTACTAACTTGACGTTGGTGTTGAAAATCCAGATGTTGTTCACACTTAGCTCTGAGTGCAGAAGATCTCCACACTGGTTTCACGCTAATGAATGCCTGTCTTGCTTTCCCGAACCTGACTTTGACATCCTCGTCTGTGCCACTGCCTGCAGTTGAAACGATGCTGCCTGCCTGGGTATGTGAAAGAGGCTTCTTCCTTTAAGTTTCTCCCGTTCATGGTGATTGGAGCTTGTTGTTGTTGGTGGTGGTGGTGTTGGTTGGGTATCTTCATCACCTCCGTCTTCTCTACGTTAACTGGAAGTCCCGTCTCCGCTGCTTCTTCTGTCAACTTGTTAGTTTTGACCTGTAGATCTTTGAGTTTGTGCGACATTAGACACAAGTCATCGACGAAATCCAAATCTTCAAAGTTCATTCCCTCGGTCCAGCCTGAGTATCCCCCTCTTATCGCTCCTCACTGTTTGTTGCCTGATCCAGTCCACTACAATCAGGAAGATCATGGGGGATAGTACATAGCCTTGTTTTACTCCTGTCTTCACTTCAAAAGCATCACTGAGCTTCCCATTGTGAATTACTTGGCATGTGGAGTCTTTGTATAGTTGTTGAATGAGGCGGATAAAGGTTTGCGGTACTCCGTAGTATTGAAGCAGTTTTCAAATTACCTCTCGGTCGACGCTGTCAAAGGCCCTCTCAAAGTCGATAAAGTTGAGGTGTAGAGTTGACTGTCATTCTATACTCTGTTCTATGATGATGCGTAGTGTAGCGTTGCAATTTGGTCCACACATGATTTGTACTTCCTGAATCCAGCCAGCCTGTTCCGGTCGTAGTTTTGAATCCAGCGCGTCCTCTGGTCTCTCCAGGATGATGCGGCTTAATATTTTGCTTCGGGTGGATAGGAGCATGATTCCGCGCCAGTTTTTGCAAACACTTAAGTTGCCCTTCTTCGGGAGTTTGACAAGATAGCCCTTCTTCCAATCTGCAGGTACCTTCCCTTCCTTCCAGACCTTCTGAAATAGTGTTGTGGTGTGAGCATGTCCGCTGTTGTCCCTGCGTCTGCTCTCAGTGCTTCTGGCGGGATCCCATCTGATCCTGCTGCTTTCCCACATTTCAGTAGCTTAATAGAGTTCAGAACTTTGACTTTTGTTGGAGGATTTATGTTCACTGGTAGTTCTGTGGCCGGGCTGCAGGTGGTATTTCTGGACGAAGTGCAGGTGGTAGCGGTGGTCGATTCAAGAGCTTCTTGAAGTGGTCGGCCCATTGTTTTCTTCGTTTCTCTTCTTTCGTAATTAAATTTCCGTCATCATCTTCTATTGGTTTCATGTGTGTTGATCTCTCCCTCCCAGATAGTAACCTGGTTATTTGATACAATGTTGTCAGGCCTCTGTTTCTCCTACCTGTAGCCTGTTCTGCTTCACTTGCCAATGTTTCGTAGCAGTGTCTTTTGTCTTTGTGTGCACTCTTCGTCACTTCTTTAACTAGTGATTTATACATTGTACTCAGTTCCTCTGGTAGTTGAGCATCCTTGCACTGGTTTATCTTCTGCTTCACCATCCTCCTCTCCTCTATCAGCTTCCATGTGTCCATCGAGATCCATTCTTTATCTTCTTTCTTCTTCCTTCCTAATACGGTTATGCAGGTTTCTTTCCACATAGCTTTCAAAGAGTTCCAGTGTTATTCCATACAGGTTTCTTCAGGAATGTTCTTCAATATCTCTCATTTTGTCTTGATGGTTGTCGTGAAGATTTCCTTTGTAGTTTTTTTGTCCTTCAGTTTCTGGGTGTTCAACTTCAACTGTGGTTGTCTATCATCAACTTCTTTAAAGGCATTCAACTTGATGTTGAAGGTTCCTCGCACTAGATGGTGAGCAGTGTGGACCTACATCTGCTCCTCTTCTTGACCTTGTGTCAAGTAGGCTGACTGCGTCTCCACTTTCTTGAGATTAAGATAAAGTCTATCTGATAAGTATATCGACAAAATGAACAATAAATGTTTGTCGTAAGACAGTCAAATTATAAAACTTTTGAATAATAAAAAAATTACGAAACCTAGAGAGAGATGTGGAAATAAACAGAATTCTAAGACAACGGTGATGATGGTAATGATACAAAGATAACTTGGTGAGAAAAAAAATTGCTTCATTTTCAACCAGTTTGTATGTGAATCCAACCGGTGAGATAGCAATCAAGCAAGCATGTACTGTGTGCAGAAATTAGGCTGGGAAATCCTAACACTTATTGTCTCTTCTAAACTTAGTAATCTGAGGTGTAAAAACCTATAGAATTGCTGTGGTACTCTGCATCGAGAACCAAAGACCGACAGGAATCGGAAAGCCTGACTGTAAGTTACCACAGAAAGCAAGAATCACCTGGTAAGACCATTAACCCAAATAATTCACAGGTTTGCACTGCTCAATATTAAACACCTCAAAGTAATATGATATCTCAAGTAGACGATGAACAGGAGAGGCCTTATTTTCACAAAACTCAATGCGAAGAACTAGATCTTTGAAGCTATCAAGTGTAAATCTATGGCAGTTTTCGTGAAATATCACTTAGTTGCCTTTCTGTTTCGCTGAAATTACATGAAAACATAACAGTTTGAGGTCGTTAACCTAGCTCCAAATCCACGTTAAACTATTAGGGTTAAATGTTTCGCTTGATATTTATAAGTATCATGAAGCCTTATCAGATAGATATCTAAAATAGCCAATGTAACGGAAAAACTCGGGCAGTACGGCAGAGTATAATTCCATATTAAACTGTCAGTGTGAGCTAAAATGGTTATTGAAAAGAAGGTAGTCCGATGGCTTGGACATGTACATAAAAGGCACTTAATAGATCAAGACTGAGTGGAATGTTTGATTTCACTATGCTCTCACTTTCAATAGTCACTAAGGTTAAACCTACCCTATAAGAATCCCTACTAACAGGATTTTATAAGGTGCTCATGCCCTAGTCTTCGGCAGATTGATCCTTTACCACATGATTCAAGATCATTGCAGAAAATCCCTATTATAAAATCATTAGAACAATTTAGTACTGGGAGGGATTCGCCTCGAATACTTATCACTCAGAATACTTTTTCCTGACCACAACTCAGTTCAGTGACTCATGAACTCATTTGAATAATTCTAGTAGTCTACTTACTCCTTAAATTTGTATTTTTTTTTCCAATTCTTTTCACTTAGAAGAGATGAAACGGTTATAATAGTAGTCTTTATTCCATTCATATTACTTAAAGCCATCTTGTTCTTACATGTGAACAGAGACATCAACAACGTGGTAGTCGCTCTTATTAAGTAACAATCGTAGATTCTGAATTTAATACCAGTACTTAGGCATAAAATCGACAAGGCAGAAGATGACGGAAAGAAAACAACGATTTCTGGAGTAAGAAGCAGCTAAAAGGGGTTAAATATTCATAGCATACTTCATACTGCTTAACAAGTTACTAGTACACACTTGTCTTAGGGTAATAATTCGCATTTGGAAAATGATTGGTCCACTACTAGACATCATAATTTTTGCAATTATGTTATTCAGAAGACTGTATTCTATCAATATCTTCATCTAACAGCACTGTTTCTGTCTGCTCTTAGCTTATACAAAATGACTTAAAATAAGATTGATTACTGTGAATTTAAGCAAAGGCAACGTAACTTGAAGAGCGTCTATGACAAAGCGAAATAGTGGTGGTCCTCTTTACAGTATTATTGTCAGCCAAAAAGCAATCGAGTTGGTATCTGTCTCCTCTGCACATATGTGCACGTACATGCAGTTGGTGATAAGTCACAACTGTTTTGTAAGAGCTACTGATACTACATGATACTATTCAGTCGGCGGGGTGAGTTTGAACCCGTGGGTGATCACTTGGAAGTCAAGTGCTTAAATTGATGAGCCATAGCTCCTACTTTATTCTGAAGATGCCTACCTACTAATGCCAAACATGGTTGTTTTAGGAACTTATGAAAGTAGTGGGGAAAATAAACGATCTTTTCCTTCCTAAATTGAAATTACTCATCAATAGAAAGTCCTAATCATTCCAACGTCTATTATTCAACATTTAAACGCTAGGGAGTCAAATATTTACCTGAGAATCAAGTCATTTGTAACTTTCAACCCTAGAAAACTCATTGCTGCTCAGTTATCGCATATGCAAGCAGTTCTCACTCATTCTCAGCACTAACCTGTTCTACTGTATAGATGATGGATTTCCTTTAAGACTTTAAAGTTCCTAACCAAAAATAAATCTCTGCTTGTTATTAGGTTTGTATTTTTACTCAACCTGGATCAGCAGGTGTTTTTTTAGTAAATAACTTCTGAAAAAACATGCGACTTCTTAATCTCCTTATTATTGTGTTTCAGGTCGCTTGAAGAACAATTATTCTATCAACTAGCTAATAGATTGTCAGCCTATTCCACCCTTCCTCCACCATATTCAGTTGCTAAAAATTCAGAAGCAAATGAAGCTTTACCTTTAAAAATTAGTCAGGAGTCTCACAATAATCTTGATGAAGTAAATCATCATGGTAGTATAAGTCTCCCAACTGTGAGTTTGTCTAATGAAGATACTCTATTCGATGAGCAAAAACGTTGAACAGACAAAATATTCTCAACTTTCAAGTTTTGCATCCACATCGTTCATTACTGAACTTCCTTATGATGATATTGATTTGAGCATCTTACAAAGAAACAATTTAATATTACTTATTAGTTGGGTAGAATGTTATTGATTAATTCTTTGACTTATTCATTACAACACTTATGGCAAACAAATTTTCTTCTTGGATCTAGTCTATGCAAAACACCGATCGATGTAAAACTGACTGAATTTTTAACAAAGCAACTTCAGATTGCTGTTGATATGTATGTAAAGTAACAGACAACTCCTCATGCTACTATGTGACTGTTTTCTAATCAATCCATAGTCAATCTAAAATTCATCGCTTCTGTAAGACCAGAACCTGTCTGTAAATTAGAAAGTTTTTTCCCACATCAGTAGGGAATTTTAGTCAAAATAAGATGGCCAGTTTGCAAATGATTTATGAATCACACTATCCATGTTGACATTTCATGCCGGTGAATAGTTTTTCAGTTAGATGTTAGTTGGATGGAAGCAATCGAAAGGAAGCCCTGGACCTAAGTTTCGTGCATTTTGGCCATCATCAGCTTGGCGTATCTGCAAACTTGAGAGAACTGAGATCCAAACCTCCGTTACCCAATGCTGCAGTTGGAGACATTGCTGAATTGACCGATAGAACTCAGTCAGCACACAAGACTAGAAAACATGAATTTGGTTACCCTCCAGTGACCAATCAAATATGGTTTTTCAAATATCTAACTATTGTGTCAACAGGGTTTCCGCTGGAAGCCACCTAGCCGAGATCACAAGGCATGATCTCTGACACAAAATATCATAAACTGGCGAAATATACCACTTCCGAACAACGTGAGTTGTTAGAAATCACTCAGGCTGATCTGTAGATTTTACCAGCCAGACAAGAAAGATCATAACACCCAGTACACCGCTGGTGAGCCTATCCTTAAACGAGAGAACAGCCATCTAGTGTTTGGGTTACTCTTATCCATAGGTAAGCCCGACTGGTTTCTAGACACTCAAGTTCTTCAGTATTAGTATGATGTGAGCTGAATTTTATAAATCCCAGAAAAAGTCAGTTTAACACTCGATGTCAATTATTATTTAACCTCGGGTTTATTACTGAGATGAATATCAATATATCATAGACTACAATGAGAACACAGTTTATTGGGGGTATACGTATGATTTCAACAGGTTAACTGACAGGAGAAAAGAAAAGTTCTTCGTCATTGACAGGTATGGATGGCAGGATGCCATAAGTGTCGATCGTTTGAAGGCAGCGTATAAAGAGGACGACCCACGTTCCTCTACACAGACACAACTAGAAAAACCCCTTGCCGTCAGGCCCTCAAAAAGATTTGTATAGTCGTGAATACCCCGAACCTTCTAAAAAAAGCCACCTCTAATAACACTAACATGGATTTCACCAGATGGACACACTAAAAATCAAATCGACTTTATCTCAATCTCAAGAAAATGGAGACGCAGTCTACTTAACACGAGGTCAAGAAGAGGAGCAGATGTAGGTTCAGACCACTACCTAGTGCAAGGAACCTTCCAAATCAAGTTAAAAGCCTTCAAGGAAGCTGGTGATAGACCTCAATTCAAGTACAACACTCGGAAACTGAAGGATGAAACTACAAAGGAGATCTTCAAGGCAGCCATCAAGACAAAATGGGAGACATCGAGCAACATCCCTGAAGAAACCTGTGTGGAAGAACATTGGAAGTCTTTGAAAGCTATGTGGAAAGAAACCTGCACAACAGTATTAGGAAGGAAGAAGGTGGAAGACAAGGAATGGATCTCGACGGATACCTGGAAGCTGATAGAGGAGAGGAGGATGGTGAAGCGGAAGATAAACCAGTGCAAGGATGCTCAACGACAAGAGGAACTGAGCACAATGTATAAAACACTGGACAAAGAAGTGAAGAAGAGTGCACGCAACGACAAAAGACACTTCTACGAAACACTGGCAAGTGAAGCAGAACAGGCTGCAGGTAAGAGAGACCTGACGACATTGTATCAAATAACCAGGTTGCTGTCAGGGAAGAGACCAACACAGATGAAACCAATAAAAGATGAAGAAGGAAATTTAATTACAAAAGAAGAGAAACAGAGGAAACGATGGGCCGACCACTTCAAGAAGCTCTTGAATCGACCACCACCTGCACTTCGTCCAGAAATACCACCTGCAGCCGCTGAATTACAAGTGAACATAAATCCCCCAACGAAAATGGAAGTCCTGAACGCCATAAAGCTACTGAAATGCGGGAAAGCAGCAGGACCAGATGGAATACCGCCAGAAGCACTGAGAACAGATGCAGAGACAACAGCGGACATGCTCACACCACTATTGCAGAAGGTGTGGAGGGAAGAGAAGGTACCGGACGATTGGAAGAAGGGTTACCTTGTCAAACTGCCGAAGAAGGGAGACCTCAGTGTTTGCAAGAACTGGCGCGGAATCACTCTCCTGTCCACCCCAAGTAAAATATTAAGCCGCATCATCCTGGAGAGGCTTAAAGACGCACTGGATTCAAAACTGCGACCGGAACAGGCAGGCTTCAGGAAGTACAAATCATGTGCAGACCAAATTGCAACGCTTCGCATCATCATAGAACAGAGCATAGAATGGCAATCACCTCTCCACCTCAACTTCATCGACTTTGAGAAGGCCTTTGACAGCGTCGACCGAGAGGTAATTTGGAAGCTGCTTCATTACTACGGAGTGCCGCAAACCTTTATCCGCCTCATTCAACAACTATATGAAGATGCCACATGCCAAGTAATCCACAATGGGAAGCTCAGTGATGCCTTTGAAGTGAAGACAGGAGTGAAACAAGGTTGCCTACTATCCCCCATGATATTCCTTATTGTGGTGGACTGGATCATGCAGCAAACAGTAGGCAGCGAGAAGAGGGGGATACACTGGACGACGGAAAAGAACCTAGAAGACTTGGATTTCGCCGATGACTTATGCCTAATGTCACATAAACTTGAAGATCTGCAGGCAAAAACTAACAAGTTGATAGAAGAGGCAGCGAAGACGGGACTTCAGGTGAATATAGAGAAGACAGAAGTGATGAAGATACCGCACCACCACCATCAACAACAACAAACTCCAATCACTGTCAACGGGAGAAACTTAAAGGAAGTAACCTCCTTCACTTATCTAGGAAGCACTGTTTCAACTACAGGCGGGACGGACGAGGACGTCAAAGTCAGAATCGGAAAAGCAAGACAGGCATTCATTAGCCTGAAACCAGTGTGGAGATCTTCTGCACTCAGCATGCGGAACAAGATACGGATTTTCAACACCAACGTCAAGTCAGTGCTCTTGTATGGCTCAGAGACTTGGCGCGTCACGAAAGGTATTTCCAATAAACTACAGACATTCATCAACAACTGCTTACGCTCGCTGCTGAAGATCAGATGGCCAGAAAAAATAAGCAACAAGGAACTCTGGGAACGAACCAACCAAGAACCTATCACGCAACAAATATGCAGGAAGAAGTGGAGATGGATTGGCCATGCACTGAGAAGGCCGACTGAGGACATCACGCGTCAGGCCCTCGAGTGGAATCCCCATGGGAAGCGACGAGTTGGACGTCCAATGGTGACATGGAGGAGGTCGTGCGAGCAGGAAATGAGAGCTTCTGGGCTGTCGTGGGACCAGGTTCAAAAGATCTCAGAGAACAGAGGTCACTGGAGGCGTGCTACTGAAGCCCTATGTTCCACTAGGAACCCAAGGGACTAATAATAATAATAATAATAATAACACTAAGCCAGTACCCTCTACACGTACCGGTAGATATGTGTAATGGCCCAAACGATGTGCCAATTTCGTTACTTAGCCCCAGCGCAAATTCACATGATGACTTCGGGATTGCAACTATTTAATCCTTGCGAGCACTAAAGCTGTATTTTCATATCTAAAGTTTTCAAGATTTTTTGTTTGTGACTACAAAAATAATAATAATAAAGAAATTCAAAAACTCGAAAATATAATAAAAGTTCGGAAACGTTTTTTCGGTTGGCCATTACTTTTTTCTGTACTTGTCTTACTATTGGCATTTGTTTGCTTTTTCTTTTCTTAGCACGCTAATGATCTCTACTTCTCTTCCCGTAGAATCTAGAAAATGCATAGAAAATTGGACACAATTGGCCCCTGAAGATGATATCTGAATCGTCCTGCGGTTCATCTTTGTACCAATTTCCCCATATACACTCCCTGGTATATTAGGAATCAATAGGGAAAAGTAGACGGAGGCTTTGGGCCATTTTCCACTGCTGCGAGAGCGGTTGCGTCTAGATTTAAAGTTCTCCTACCTCGTAGGTGTGCATAGTTGCAGTAGCTTTGGAGACCCACACGCCACCTACTCCCTCACCAATATGGAAAGGTGTTGCGTGTCTGCCTTGCAGTCGCCTCCTAGTATCGAAGGTAGCCGGCATCCCAACAACCGTCTAGGAGGGGCATGACCTGTAGTGCACCTACATGGCACCAAAATACAACTAGGGCTGAAATAAGCAAATTAAATTAAGTTGACTAAATAAATCTCTAGCTTTAGGTGTTTTAAGTTTTGTTTTAACGAGCATGCATCCGAGCAGGCTTAAACGCTGTTTTGCGCTTCCTTAGTGCTGGTTAGCACTCACGTACTCAAAGTCCCTAGCCCAGCCATATTAGGCAGATAAGCTTAATGAACGTTTCCCCGATTCATCAGTATCACATTTACTCTAATCAAATAAATTACTTCTTCGAATATGTCCTCGAGCCAGTCCTTTTGACCTGTGTTTCTTTGTCAGTACCTACAAGTTAGGTAATGTACTGGTTAAGCAGGTACTCGAGCACATCAAGTTAAGTAGGGTTGGTCAAACCTTACAGGATAGTAACACACCAGCTGCAACCTTTTGAAATCAGGGATTAACAGAGGAAAAAAGACTACATTTGCGTAGGGAGTTGAACTTGTTCCATTTGAGCGGGAACTCGATCGACGCCTTCTCTTTGATTTGTGATATAAAATGCCATAAGCCTATTCGTCCACGTACTTTTTTCCAAAACATATTTGTCCTCGAAATGACTAGCCAGTTAGCCAGAGAGGAGAACAAGAAGACTGCCGCTACTTTGTGCTGTTTTAATGATGGCTATGTGTTTTGGAAGGTGGGATTATTCACAATTGATGGACAACCAGCTTAATACTGGAAGTTTATGAGGCAGTTTGAGCTTTATTTCGGCTCCACGGTTCAAGATGATGGACAGAGTCCGTTTTACTCGTCACATTACTATAAAAGTAGGGCCGAGGAGGCTACAGAATAATGTAGTATTCTTCCACCATCGGCCGGTTACAGCGGGGCGTGCG